GACTTGAAGGGAGCAAGGTTGAGAAGAGACTCAGGACTATATTTGAGATGCTATGGGCAAGTTCGCGCAACAACCATTTGACAACCAGTGGTTGGTGTCAAACAGTGCACATGCGCTGTAACATTAAAGTGCGAATGACTCTAGTCGAACCATCGTCAACATATGGCGGTCACGAGTATGTTTGGATTGTTTACGTTCTTTTACCTGTTGAATGGACCGGAAGATATCTCCGAAGCCCACCAGCGGGTAGTACATGTACAACTCGGTGAGTTTAATCTCTTGTCAATGGTTCCCACGAGTCTATTAATAACCTGCGATGCAACAAGGCTAGTAGGCTGGTCCGAAAAAGTTGACAAGCGTAGTCCAACTGTGTCAACTAGACAGAGTTTGGACTATTAGTCGAACTGTGGTGAACAATAGTTGTTGCGCGAACTTGCCCTATGCTGTAGAATCTGTGCACAAGTACATATACCCCCTCGCTTGGTCACAAAGAGAGAGTCGGGAGGGACTTGTACACATTGCTACCAGAGATGTCACTAGTGGTCACGAAGTGCCATGTTATGTTCATGCATAGTCCATACTTTCTCGATGTCCATACCAAGTGAGCTTTCTACACCTTCAGTAGCTTTGCCTAATCTGGAGGTCAGTCGCCATTCGTTGCGGGTGTAGGCGGAGCCTGAGGAAGGCTGGGGGTCCTCAGTCAGATGCAGCATCTGCCGGAATGCCTGGTTGAACTGTGGGTGTTTGAGGCCGTACAGGATGGGATGAACGAAGGAGTGCATCAGGAAGACCATGCCGGTGAAGAGAGTGATTCGGGGGTTGTCAGGGAGAATCAAAGCGATGCCAAAGGGAAAGTTGAGTACAAGGAAGACGCAGACGTTAATGAAGAGGTTGACCGTGATGCTGAGCTGCTGATGTTTGAGGCGTGACCTGCGGGACTTATGACCTGCTCCCCAGTCAAAATCTGAGGGCTGGTTTGTAGTCGCTTTGAACTGGTGTCTGAAATTGCGTCGGACGGTGATGAGGATGACCAAGTAGGACGTGATGAGGGTGATCATGGGGATTGGGTAGAAGACCATGGCCATTGCGAGACGTTGGTTTTGTAGTCGGGGGTGTTGGGAGACATCTTCGCAAGTGTGGGCTCTCTCATCATAACCAAGTTGGCCAACGTCAAACAAGGGAGGGATCAGAACAGTGAGGAACGGTAGAAGCCAGATTATGGTTATCATGATGGCAACTTTGCCTGGTGTATACCACCATTGGTATGTGCTGGGAGAGGCTGCGACGCTCAGCATGCGATTGACGGCGATACCAGCAAGGCTGTACAAGCTGGCTCCAATGCTGGTAAGAAGGAAGAGTGCCGCCGCGTAGCATGGAACCTGACTGTCCATTGGCCAGCCCTCCCAGCTCAGCAGGCCAACCACACTCCACGGCAACGTCAGACCCGTAACGAGGCAGGCCACGCTCAGGCAGACCACGAAGGCATTGGTAGTCGTCTGGAGGTTTTTGGACCGGATCACTGCTACAATGACCATCACGTTGCCAGCGATGGCCAGGATGGATGTTATCAGAAACACCACACCCACAAACACCCTCTCGCCCTGACTGACCGTCAACACGGCAGGGCGAAGAAAGGTAGCATTCACAGAGTCTGTCAGATTGGTCTGGTTCTCCATTGTGACAACATTTGTCGCATTCACTTCGTTTGCAGGAAATGTCAAGATTTCTTCCATGTTTGTCACCTCAACTAATCAACACCACAATTATTGTCCTTGATTCAAAAGAATGTCAAGTTTTTATAGTCGCAGATAATGATGAATTCCGACTCGCTGAGAAGCCCGACAAGGCGTTCACACTTCTGCTGCTTCGCCCTCGACATCAAATCAGAAAGTGATTTTGTTTTTAGGAGTTGTTCGTTTTATGTACATGTACTTGTCAAAAGTAATATCGTGCGCAGCCGCAGAGCACATTGGATCAGCAGATTGTTCAGTGCTGTATGAAACCCAAAGCAATGTGAATAAACAAAACAATTTACATACAATGTAACCTGAGGTAAGAACATTCAACTTCCAGTTTCTGTGCAGGGGAATGACGCACATTCAACTTCGTTCATCATATGCAGCAATTGAAAGTTGATCCGAAAAAAAGAGAAAGGAAAACTTGTGAATAATTACGGAACCTTTGTCCAAAAATCCTGATTGTTAGCCAAGACTTTTGTGACAAGGAAGTAAAATAGAGAAAAACAATCCCTTTGTTGCCAACTTGTACTAAACATCTTAGAAAGAAACATTTGGTTTTTCAGACTATGTGGTGGGTAAAACCCTTTTCTGTCATTGTATTGAACTTGGGAAATAATATTGAAGGGGAATTTTTTCTTTTTTATAAAATAGCTTCACACAATTCAAATGGATCTTGAGCAATGTCCAAAACATTTTGCAACTTATTGAATGCTGGCAGATGTCATACATTTCCATAATTGTTGACTGTTGTGATGTGGGATATGGCATTTTTAAACCCGAGGGGTGCTTTTTGGTTTTTGTGCTAATGGAAATTTACATATTCATGGCAAAAGTGTGAAGTCAATTTAGGCAGAAACCTCAATTTTACAGCTACTGTATTTCAGCACCAAAAGTTGCCAGAATTTTGGATATTTTGCTGTCGTGAATTTTCTTTTCTTTGGGGATTCGTTGTTGTATAAGTACACGGCAGTAAGCCAGTGAGCAAACTTTTCTCACAAATGTTGTCAAAGAGCAACTTTGTGGGTTCACAATTTGAACAGAAACCCCTGTACTGAGTAATGTCTTCCAGAAATGACGTCACAGCAACAGCGCCCTCAGTTGTCTGGAAAAGCATGGAAAATTATAATTTTGTAAAGAAGTGTACTTTTTAATAAAATTCACCAAAAAGGGATGTCAAATAGTTTTCATGCATTTAAGAGGAGTAGAAAGTTGCACAAAATAAGTTCATAAGAAAACTTCATCTCATGGACCCTTAAAGTCGCAAGTTGTACAGTATGACCCGGGGACATAGTGACCGTCATTGAACCTACAATGTATGACTATTTACATTGAAATCGCAACCCTAGTCCCTATTGTTATTTTACACGAGTTGTTTCATTACGTCAGCACCTGTATGTGTTTGTACTACATGATATGCGTATGGTTTCAGAGCATTGTAGGCTTAACAATGGACACTGTGAAAGAGAAATACTTTTCTTAAGCCAATACATGTTTTGATAATAGTTAATTATGGACTACTGTGGGATGTGAAAGTATGCAAATTGATCTCCAGAGTTTATTGAAATGGTTGCGACAACATTGATTGAGACAATGCCGTGAGAAACGTTTATCATTTGTGACCAGATCCTTAGAATTGAGTCCTATTTAGATAGGCATATTAGTAGAAGAAGTTACAAGTAATTTGTGGTTGAACATCTTAACTCTTCCTGTAACTCAAAAGGAACTCTAGAAACTTTTTAACAATTGCAAATATGAGACATTGGTCACTTACATGTAAGCCTTTAACCCTAACCGCCCTGAATCCTCCAAAATCCTTTTTGCAAATTGGAGGAATTTGCAGGATTGAGGTTACATGGCAAAAGTGCGTTGCTCATTTCGGAGTACGCACTGTGTCAAGGTCTTGGGCCGGACCTTGTGTTGTTTATGCTCAGCCGTGCATAAATTTAGTCCTTGATTATACTTGACATCCTCCGCACTGCTCCAGGATGTCACTGCCTCTGCCTCAGCCTATTGACAGACATACATGTATAGCCGGAGGATTTTGCAGGATTTGGGCAGTGGTCATCCCTCCATGGACCATATTCAAGAAATAACGGAGGAATTTGCAGGATTGAGGCTTTATGCTATTTTTCCATGAGGCCAATTGGAGGATTTTGCAGGATTGAGGCTACATCGTAGCAAAAAGGCCTAGGGAGTTAGGGTTAATGAATTTCAGGATATGTTGTATTTTCTGTGAGGATTTTCTAGGTTTTGTTTTGCTTTTTTTATTTTCTCAGGATGATAATATACAAACGTACATGTATGTGACAAAAATCAAGGAGTTCTCATTATATTTTGAATGGAATTTCACAAAATAATCTTTTGCTGGACAATCACAATTGTTTAAATTACCCATAGAAAATAACTTCAACCTGTATAAAAAATGTACATACAAATGTATGTCTGAATTAGAAATACACAATCTTTTTAATTTTACAGTTTTTGAAGGAAAAAACTAACCACGTGTTTGTAGATTAAAAAACAAACCATGTAAAAGTTTTATACTATGGTCAAGGCCAATGAAAACCGTAGATTTAGCGTATCAGTTACTTTTCAGAAATTTTGTAATATTTTTTGGTTGAACATATCATAACATTTTCAAAGTAAGAATTTACATTTTTATCACCAAGTCTGGCCTATTGATGCAGCACTTGAGCAGAATTGGCCATGAGTCCAGGTTAGGTATGGAGTGAGTAAGTGCTTGCATTCTAGAGGAATGTTAACCTTAACCCTGCTAAATGCAACAAAATGCAACGGAAGTAGAAAGTTGTTGCAAGTTGTTGCATTTAGCAGCCAACTCAAATCCCCATGCTTTGTTGTATCTTGTTGCATTTGGCAGGGTAACTTCTCATAGTGCCAAGGCGCTACAAGAGTATTCACTGTTGCAGTTTGTTGCATTTTGCAGGGTAACTGCTTGCGGTGCCAAGGCTGGTAGGCACTGGGTTCACTGCACAATGCAACAGTGGATTTGCATTTTGTTGCATTTAGCAGGGTTCTCATTTGAGTTGAGTTGGATATTGTTGCATTTAACAGGGTACCTGAAGAATACCTGATGGGAGTTAGGGTTAATGCCTACCTTCAGTCCCCATGTCAGTTTTCCTGAGCCCTGGATCTACTCTTCTTTGTATTTCTCTTGTAGCCCTTTACTGGGGGTGGCTTTTAGCTTTGTGTTTGGAAAATATGCATACAAAAATTTGTTTTCGTTTTACGTGAACTTTCCAGCGAAGAGCTGCCGCAGACGACGCCTGCCAAGTATGCTTTGCCGCGTAAAGGCAGCAACGCTGCCAAGCCCGTTCCTGCCCTGCCCACGGCCTACAAAGCTCTCAAACCACCCAAGGCACCTAGGCCCTACAGTGAGCCCAGCCCTCAAAAGACCAAGAGAAATAGTCTGGTCAAGATCCTTCCCGTTCCCGTGAGTTGATACCACTTTTTTATATTAAATATCTTGAATAGTGGAACTTGTATTCACTGCCTTTTCTGATTCAAACTCTAGTTCAAATAAAATTCCTGTCAAACGTGGGTTTCCTTCTTTTGCCCCTACAAGTGCAAAGTTCTTACTTTGTTGTGTTAATGAAACTTCTTCCCTTTCATTTAAAATAGTAATTGTATGTTTTTTTGGGGTTCTATTTCAGAGCAAGGAGGAGATTACTGAACAGTTCAGTAAAATGTCACGACAGCGTTCACGCTTTGTGTCTCAAGGTAACTAAAATACATTCAGTTGATTTTTGTGACTTCAATGAGGCTGTCATTACTCAATACTGAATAGGATATCAGCAGGGGAATACCCAACAAAAACTGACATCTTTGGTCTGTTTCCCGGTGTGTTTTTTTTTCCCCAGAACCTCTGTTCCAGATTTACCAGGAAGACGCCCGCAGTCGAGAGTCCTACCTCCGCCTCATGAACGTCTCTTCCCTGGAATCCCTGGCCAAGTTCCTCGAGAACCAGGAAGCCCTCAAGAAGGAAAAACGGGAGAGTGAGTCTATCCCGACCCCGTCCCAGCTCCCCGAGTACCGGGTCCTCATGTCCGACGAGGAGATGTACCGCTACCAATCCGGGGAGGAGTGCAAATCGGGGGATGTCCAAAACAAGGATATTAACCGTGCCTCCCGATCGGGGGAGGAGCAGGGAGAAGCCGTTTATCAATCGGTGGAGCCCATTTACGAACCCCCCGGAGAGCTCTACTACGACACTGGCAACATCCTGCAGAACAACACCATCTACGAGTCCGGGAGCCTGGGGAGTTCAACAGGGGAGGGGTCGGGTGGCAGCAGTTCGGACGTGGACATACCCAAGCCTTATGGTCTGATGGAACGTACAAAAGTGAGCAGCGCAGTGCGACGGTCATTCTGGAGTGAGCTTCCGGAGGTCATCAGCAGTGGGTTATTGGAGCAGATGACACAAGAAGAGAAACGACTTCAAGAGGTAGATTACTTTGACAATTAAGCACACCCCCACCTCTCAAGGGCGGATCCAGAACACAATTTTAATTTTTTCTGGGGGGGGGGGGGGGGGGTGGCAACAATTTTGGCGTAAGGGCCCCAAAAGTTTTTGGGATTTTCGATGCTCTGTGGTGCGATCTGAGGCAATTTCTGACCACTTTAACCAAATCTGTTTGAGGAAAAGATGGTGGTGTACGCAGTGGCTGCCTTTATTGCGACGTCACTTAAAAAAAAGAGGGTTTTTTTTGGGGGGGGGGGCATGGCCCCCGTTGGCCCCCTTCCTCCCCTGGATCCGCCCTTGCCACCCCCACGCAACAAAAAAAGCAATTGGGTGGTGCCGTGGGTAGTCGAATAATTTGTTAGTTATGCCAGAATTTAATGTATTCAACTGATTTCTTATTGACGCCACTAATGTAATATGCAGAGTAGGACCATCCTGAATATACTGCATATTCAAATATTGGATTATCAATCAAACATTCAAATAGCTTTTTGCCGGTTTGAACATTCGAGGAAAAAAGAAAACCAAAAACCCACGCAAGCACACATGACTTTTACGTTATTTTAATCGTTAAGTTGGGCACTTCATTGCCGGATGCCACTTTTTCGTCGGCAGTAACTTTTTGTTGTTGATGGCAGTTCATTGTTCCTATCCCTTTAGCATTTTACAACCCTTGACAGTTATAAATCACTGCAAAACAATCCAGCGGCCCATAATATCACTCGCCTCACACAGATTTTAACAGGCGTGCTTTGCCTGCAACTATCTCACAGTGCAAAGAACTTGAATAACCTGTTACAGAGTTTTTACAAACGCATTTGCAGTTTGAATGATCAGCCATGACATGGACACTGAGGCACGGAGGCATCCCACTAATGTCAGACAAAATTATAGTTACAGCAATGGCCAAGTTGAACTAGTGAAAAGAAGTAGTTGTAAACGGCTTCATTTGCTTCACTTGTCGCTTGTGTAAAATGCACCCTCATTAAAAAAAGGTAAAGGGGGCGAACCTGTGTTAACAGGAACGGAGTGCCCATCTCTCTTTTGTTAGCGATTGGGCCAGACTCATATGCTGCTGTGGGGGGATCGCCACACCTCCTCCACAGCGAGTCTGTTACCTTCCCAGCATTGAATAATGCCAGTACCCATTTAACACCTTTACCTCAATTACCCCTTGAGAGGGGTGATTGAGGTAAAGCGCCTGACTCAAGGGCACAACACGCATGTCCACGATGGGGCTCGAACCCACAACCTCACGATCATGAATCCTGTGCTCCACTGCTAGACCACACGTGCCCACCCTCACTAGCTTTGTGCATGGTGGAGATATCTGGAGGAAATTGATAGCGGGAGTCTTTGTGTCATTTTACAGGCACTGTTTGAAGTCATCACCTCAGAAGCCTCCTATCTCCGCAGTCTGAATCTAGTGGTGGAACACTTCCTGGAGGATCCCAAACTCCAGCCCCCTGCGGACCTGCTGAAAAAGGCCCAGGATTCTGAAGACCAGGTCAAGCTTCCTGAGGTTGAGCTGAACAAGATCATGCCCGCCGGGGGTCAGCTGAACAAGGAACAGGCCCTGAAGGGTCAGCAGCCTGCGAAGGGTCTTCTGAACAAGGTCCAGCACCATCTACTCTTCTCTAACATCAAGAGTGTGAGGGATGCCAGTGAGAGGTAAAAACAAAAGGCCTTCAAACAGTTTGAACCTACAAGGTGTACTTGAGTCAATCACAGACTCTTCAGTCAAATCTCAGGCCAGGTCGCAAGTACCAATTTGGAAGAACAAGGACAAAACAATTTGGATTTAGTCCAGACTTTTCCGAGACCTCACATAAATGCTCACATAATGAAACGTCAGATTTGAAATTAGTTGAAAGTAAATACAGTAAACTCTTGTTACCTCAAAGTCGGATACCTCGAAACTCTGTCTATCTCAAAGTAATTCCCGTCAAGACAATAGGATCTTATGTACATAAATACCTGTACCTCGAAACACCCGCACTGGTACCTCCGTTTACCTCAAACTTTTGGTTTTGAGGTTGATTTCACGGGAGTTTACGCAAAGATTCTTAATGGTTTGACTTCTGACATACATGTACAAATCAGTTGGGTTGTTTTCAAGTAGAATTGGGGTGTTACAGTACTATTTGAATTTATCTACATGTAGTTATTTAATTTGGGCAATTCATCTCTTAAAGGTCTCAAAAAGGTCTCGGTGAAACTTTGGCTCTTAAAAAAACCCAGATTTGTATCTGATAACGAAAGTTGACTCAAATATTAATGTAATACTATATCAAATAATGAAAATCTATGCTAGGTATTTGACTTACTTTGTTTTTTGAAAATTAAATGAATGATTACAAAAATAAGAGGTTGCTATGGTCTCAGAAAAGATCTGTACTACTTCATTGTAAGGAATGCCTTTGTAGCAGGTCACTTGAGAATAGTTGGGCTGGATGACTTGTGATGGACTTATGATGACTTGTGATAGACTTATGATGACGCATGTATATGACTTGTGATAGACTAATGATGACTTGTGATCATAGAGCTATATTAAATTACTAGAGCGCTAACTCAGTGTACAAAGTAATGCCTGATGGGTGCATCCATGTTTGTGCACAAACCTATGGAAAACTCGAAAATTTTGTACGGCTTTTGTACGGCTATTTGCATATCTGCGTTTGTATCCCATACCGGTGCGTCATCGAAGCCGATACGCCCAATACCGAAACGCACGATCAGCAAATCAGCATTTCATTTTGCTCTGCGCAAACAGCGCAACGTGTGTGCGTCCCTCCGCTGCAGATGCTTTTCGCCGTGACGTTTTTTGAACTGTCATGACGCACTTAAGTTGTTTGCGTATCTTCTACTTGCACGTTGCATTTAAAGTACACTTTTAAAATTCAATCCATCTATTTTGATTGTGTTCTACAAACACGCACATGAATTCAAAATATCTGCGCCCAGAGCAGCTTCAAAGCGTCTCCGCGCGCAAGAATGAGGAGTTATCGCTCTAGTAATTTAATACAGCTCTATGCTTGTGATGGACTAATGATGATGTATGATGACTTTTGATAGACTTATGATGACTAAGGATAGACTAATGATGGACTTATGATGACTTGTGATCACTTGTGATCACTTGTGATGGACTTATGATGGTTTGTGATAGACTCATTTACAATTCCGTTGGTCCCTTAAAATGTTTGTGCCATCTTGCAAAACCCTACTCTTTGTTGCTTACTCGTTGTTTACTTATTGTTTGTAACTTGTTGTTTACTTGTTGTTGTTCACTAGTGTTTGTTTACTTGCTTCTGACAGGCTTTTGTTAGATCTTGAGGAACGACTGAAGGATAGTACCATCATCAGTGACGTCTGTGATCTCCTCCTACAACACTTTGAAAAAGGGGGCTTCAACAGTTACATCGTCTACTGTGCAAATCACCAGTATCAAATCAAAATATTGGAGGAACTAAGGTACATTTTGAATCCAAAACATGTATTGTTCACTGAGCTTTACAACCAGACTCTGATATAGTCTGTGATTGTGTCTGTGATTCTTAACAATGTCTGTGATCATGTACAGTAGAATACCTCTACAGGGTGAATGACAAAAAAACCAGGAAACCCAAGTGGTGCTCCTTATTGTTCAAAGAAGTTCTGCATGTAGCGCCTTTCAGATCTAGGATATGAAAGCCCCATTAATAAGCTTTCTTGTAGTACAGCAATCATTCAAATCACTCATGCACTTTTCCAGTTATGGAATTTTGAACACGAACACCATTTTAAAATTTTGTCCACTGCATCACATTTAAAGGGACATTAGGTCCTGGAACAGCCCAATCGATTAGGCTACAAAACACGCTTTGAACGAAATGATTTTAATCAGAAATATCAGTAAAATGAAACCATGTCGTATCATGATAACGATATCAGAATAATCCCATAAGTCTCCGGGATAGCCAAGAAGAAGACAGGGCAAGACTATAAACTTTTGACAAAAGCATGTTGTTATAACATTGGACGCAGAAAGTGTTTAAATAAAGGTTATGATACGAGCCAGTTATCATGGTTATGAGAGTGTTCTGATGTTGTTGTTGTTAATTACATGTATGCAAATTGCATTCGTCTTGCTCTCTGTTTGATTTGCTGTTAGAAAGCACTATTCTGCAATGGTAAAAATAAAACGTAAATAAGTGAAAGTTATACATTTGTGTCCTATCAGATAATTCCAATCATTGATAGTTTTCATCAGAAGCTAATATCGCTAGTCCTTCATTTCCATCCATTTCCATCACTCTGTAGGAAGAATCCATTATTTCTGGAAGTCATTAAAGATCTGGAAAGCAAACCAGCCTGCTGTAGTCTTGATCTCCAGTCGTTCCTGATGCTGCCATTCCAACGCATCACCAGACTGCCATTGCTGATTGAGGTAAAAACAGATTGTTGCATCATCCGTATCAATTCAGTCTTTCTTGGCCTGTAAGACCAGATTTTTGTTTTACTGGGTTCTGATTTGAAAATGGGACAACTTTTCAGGCATGAGAATCTTCCTATTTTTTGGTTGCCCAAATTTCCGCGTTTTTATTTTGAGCCTGTTTTGGGGCTTTTTTGCCCATCTTTTTTCCAGTTTTTGAACAAGTTTCCTGTTTCTTCATTGAAATTCATTCTCATGCCTAACTTTTAAAAGGAGAGTTTCAGTTAAAGGCAACCTTTTCTGTCGATCATATGATTTCCTCATATTTAATTGAAATTTGAAAAACCAAACACCCCCCCCCTTCAAAAAAAAGAAATAAGAATATTTTGCAGTTTACAATTACCTCTTTTTCCTGAAGTAAGATATTGTACATGTATGTCTGCCATTTATATTTTTTTCCCTAGCCAAACCACATAGGGCAAGTTCGGGCGCAAACTATGGTTAACCGTATTGTTGATGTACCCTAACGTACTTTGAGCACTTTTGTTGCCTCAAACGAACAAAATGCAAACATTACAAATGATGGACTATACCTTTAACGATAAATTTGTTGTCCCACTTGCACTCGTGGTACATGGAAAATGGCGTGTGTCTGTGTTCCATATGCCACTTGGTCTTTGTCCTGTGGCGTATGGGAGCAGATGCACTACATTAGTCTGTGTTCCAATCGCGCTCGTCAGATAACTAATAATACATATGCCAGTGCTGTATGCCCAGAATGATGACCGTAAGTGCATAATTCTGTGGTTAGCAGAGCCACGAAATTGGTTCCTTTTCTGTACTACAAAGAGTGATGATTCATATTTCTCGTTTTTGTAGGCTATTCGACAGCAGACAAAGCTTCATGATCCATTGCACTCTACTGCCTTGGAAGCTCTGAAGGCATTGCGAAATGTGAGTTGTTATGCCGAAGAATTGAACTGGAAACCATTTTGTTGGAATAATTATACACACAAGACCAAACCTAACAAAATGTATGAGAGAAGCTTTTAAGGTATCATGCAACATTTGCTTTTGCTGTAATTTTTAGAAATGGATGGATTTTGGGGTTAATATTTTATAGCAAATATTGTTACACCGACCTGTTTGAAGTTGTGTTGTTTATAGATGCTGGAAAAATCAATAGAAAAATGTTGTAGAATTTCTTGTAGTCTGGTTCCCTGACCCTACTTCAGACGAAACAGAGCTATTTATAGACGTCTGCGAATTGTCGGGTCAGGGAACCAGACTAGCTGGCTTGCACCCTTTCACGGATGTGTAACGGATTGCAAGTTAAATGGTAAATTGGGGGCAGTATTTGAAAAAAAGTCTTGTTGGAATCTGTTGGAGTGAGTACCGCACTAAACTGATTATGCTTTACATGGGGTTTAGGCATACCATCATAATCAGAGTCCAACAGTTTGGGTGTTGAGTTTACCATATGGTGTTGGAATTTGTAGGAGTGAGGAAGGATCCTAGCAAGTCACTAAAATGGGTTAGGGTAAAGAGTAAAAAAATGTAACAAAATTTGTTGGTAAAATGGGAACTGCGTTGTTCAGTTTGTTTCAAGCGTGTTTGGGTGCAAGGGTCCAGTTCAGTAGAAACCAAGTTTGGAATGTTGTAGAGTGATTTCTTGTGGCCATGTGCTTGTTTCAGATGGCAGAGAAATGTAACGAGGAAGCCAAGCGGATGGAGATGATTGAAGAAGTCACGCAGCTGGCCAATCAGTTGGACTTCAGGGAAGGAGTCAAGGTCAGTCACCACAGCCGTAAGAGATGTTTCTAGCTAGCCAGTACCCTTATCGGCCATTCCGTTGTTTCACATCATGTACGCATGCACAAACGCTTTGTTATCGGAATCGTTACTAATCCAAAATGGCAGCCTGCGAATGAAAGCCTTGTGTTTGCGGCTATTCCTGCATTGAATTTCAGACAAATGGGATATATCATCGCGTCAGTGCAGCAAAGTCGTAACTCCATTTTCCACCAAGTCTTATCTCGCATGAATACGTTCCGTGCAACAAGGTCGTATTTCGACGTCCATTGACTTTGTGTGTACATCCGGGTTATTTTAAGCGAGATACAAACTTTTGACATTCTGAAACTCGCATATTGCGTTCATGCCATTTCAGGAGATACGACCTTGTTGCATTGACGCGATGATATATAGGTTCAAAACCTAACCTGGTGGAGTTCAGCTCAGTGGATATTACACTTTTCGAGTAAAAAGTGAAAAAACATTCACAACCTTTGATCATAAAACAAGATTTCGTCCACAGTACTCTTTATTTCCTAATATCAGTCAACTGACTGATCGTTGGAAATCACCTACATTTCTGGATTTCTTCTAAATGACAGCAAGCCAGACGGAATAATTTCACGGGGTGTTTAGTACCAGTACGATCTTTAATCCAAGTAAGCTTTTTGATAATAATTTAGTAGGTTACTTTTGGGATAAATGCAAATGTAAATAATCCTATATGCCTTCAAGACTCATTTTGTGAGATTCAGTCACATAAAGAATGTGATCTCTGTACGAAAAATTGTTCATAATCTTTTTTACCTATACAGTCTTTTGAAGCTTGAAATGAAAAGCTAAACATTTTCCCTCAACAGAAAATGAACTTGTCGGGGACAACCTCCATCGTCAAGAGAGGGCGCCTTCACATCATCAAGAAAGACAACAAGCTACTCACGCGAGGCAAGCTGATTGCTAAAGCCATTTATGTCATCGTCTTCACTGACAAAGTCGCCATCTGCAAGCAGAAAATGAAGGGGTAGGCTGATTTCAAGTCTTTGTTTTTCAACGCACATTCGGCAGGCAATTTGTTTCATTTCTAATCTTTGGCCAGTTCAAGCAAGAACTATTGTTAACCATAGTTCAACTAAGTTAATTAGCCCCAACTCTGTCTAGTCGACAATAGTTGGACTACGCTGGTCAACTATTTGAAACCAGCCTACTGGCCTGGTCGCATTGCTGGTTATCAATAGCCTCGTTTGGTTACTTAAGTGCAGAGGGAACCATTGACAAGAGATTAAACGTAGCGAGTTGTACAACCCGCTGGTGGGCCTCGGAGATATCTTCCGGTCCATTCAACAGGTCAAAGAACGTAAACAATCCAAACATACTCGTGACCGCCATATGTTGACAATGGTTCGACTAGAGTCGTTAGCATTTTAACGTCACAGCACATGCGCACTGTTTGACACCAATCAACCATTGGTTAACTAGTGGTTGTTGCGCAAACTTGCCCCAGACTCTGCTTCGTGGTCAAACGGGTGTCGTATGGCGGCTGCCTACGACGCCTTTACATGCCTTCGGCTCGGCCACGTTGTAGCCGCGTCCTTCGCAATTCAGCTTCTCAGCTGCGAGTAAAGACATTAAGGCCCCTCTGTTTATTTGTAGGCCTATAGATTCAAAATGTGTAATTATGTGCAGCGTCCTATGTCTGACATTGCTACGCAATGTAAGTAATCCACATAATATTCTCTGCCCGTGTTTTTAGAGAGCAACTGAAATACGACGTCTTTGACTGGTGTCCGAGGAACCGAGTACAAGTGGAAGCTGTGGACAATCCCCAGCAACACCCCAAACTGCCGGACGGCGTGCCAAACAACTGCAAACACGTCTTCATCATCTCATTCCTGGAGAACAGTCAGAAGAAAGAGGTGGTTTTCGCCGTGGACGCCAACTCAGTGTGGGTACCAGTTATGATAATAATGATATAATAATGGGTATTTATAAAGCGCACGTATCCACCAGTATTGGTGCTCAAGGCGCTACATCATTATTACCCTGCTCATTGGGCCAATGAAACATTCCAAAGATAATCTCAGCTCCCTGGGGAGTATACAGCTCAATGCAGCTATTTCGGCGCAAAGCAGCTAAAATCAATCACAATAAACATCTCTGCCCTCACAGGTACCCATTTACTCTTGGGTGGGGAGAAATAATGAGTGACAAAGTGCCTTGCCCAAGGGCACACGCACCATAGCCGCAGGCTAGACTCGAACCCACAACCTTTTAGAATTACCTGCATTCTATGAGTTCAGTGCTATAGACCACTAGGCCATGGCACTCCACAATGGGTTTTAACTAGTTGAGAATCTGCTAAATGCAGTTCTACTTATTCAATGTGATAAACCAGTCTTGAGCTGTAAATAGCCATTTTTGCTTAGTAAAACTTACTTTCTAACAAGTTTCAGAGCTGAACAAACTCCATGAAATTCTCCGCTTCCACAAAGTTTTAATGCTCAGCTTTATCTAGTCTGGATTCAAGACGTCACTTGTTATTGTCCTTAGCAAGACTTGCATAATCAAAACATAATATTTTTATAAAGTTGAACTAAGAATTTTACTGGAGTGGGGTTCGAACATGTGACTTCCAGATAACCGCTCCGGTGCTCTACCAACTGAGCTATCCAACCTTGTGTTGGTGGTTCCCCATTCTGTCAATGTCTTTGTTCAAGGGGCGCTAGTCAGAAGCCATAAACCTGTATATGCCATGTAGCCAGGGATCACGCCCGAAGTCACGATGCTAGCAACATCAGCAATGCTTCAAACCTGGGAAAACAAACGGGGATCACTCATAATCAAAATGTTTTGTTGACATTGCCTATTTCCTAACAAAAAAAAAAGGTAATGAGTGATTTTTCATGTTTTTTTTTAATCTACCAGAGCTGAGAGAGAGCGCTGGATGGATGCCATGCACCCTGTCAAGAAGACTGAGGACGGAGAGACTATTTATGAATCTTGGGGTGAGTCTAGCATCTCTAACTAGAGATTCTTACAATGTAATGGGTTAACCCTAACCCTGTAGGGCCTTTTGGCTAGGAATCACCCTCAATCCTCTAGAATCCTCCAATTGCCACCACGTAAAAATTGGATTCAGCTTCAATCCTCCAAAATCATCCGTCGTCCTCCAAAATCATCCGAAATGTAAAAAGGCTCCTAAGATGCCCAAAACAGCTTAGAGGTTGGTCATGGAAAACCCTAATTTCGCCCTGGAAAAGTCACAGATTTTTTTTTAAAGATTCCTGTGTGAACCACAAATGAAGCCGCAACCAGAGATATGAAGGTTTCAAGATATCCCCACTTTCCATTGATATGGATATTTGCTTAAATCATTTTGGATTTGGGCCAACATTAAAGTGGATGAGAGTTTGAAGTGTCTGTAAATCAACGGTGTTAGGTTCGAGACCCACTCAACCCACTTAAACCACTTCCTTTTCATTACCTGTCCAGAAGTCATTTTTCCTCTTTGATTTTGATTTCAGATTGTCCCCAAGTGTTGTGCAATCAGGCCTATGAGGCCCAGGACAGGGATGAGTTGAGCCTGGATGTCCACGATAGAGTGGACATTGACAAGAAGATCGACGGTAATTGGACTTTTAATTGTAACCTCTATAGATGAGTCTTTCTGACTACCAAAAGCTCCGCGTGCTCGATGCACTGCATGGGTGCTCTGGTTCAACATCGTATGAAGAATGTGCTATTGTTGTGCACAAACCTACAGCATCTTTGCATGGGTGCGCCAAGCATAGCGCGACAATGCGCACAAGAGTCCCTCTTTAAAGCTATAGTCCATCATTTGTAATTAGTGCATTTTGTTCATTTGAAGCAACAAAAGTGTTCAAAATCTAATGAAGGATACTGAACAACTAACCTGATGCAGTTTCAGCTCAGCTTCAGCTGTATATTCCGAGAAAAACAGCATTCTAGGATCTCAATTTCAAATCAAAAGTTGCTAAATCATGTTTCGAATTGTTTTGAATTGCAGCTTTACGCGATGTCGCGCACTGATCCGACGAATTATAGCAACCGCGCGCGCCTGTGCGTCGTTCCAATGCTTGTGCGCGCTGCGCCGAATAACAAAACGAACTACTAATTTAAATTTTCCTACGGTGCTTCTTAAGACACACCGTTGGAAATGCCTTCTTTCGTTGATTTCTTCAAAATGAGAGCTTGCCAGAAAGGATAATTTCCAGGGAGTTTAGTCCCCTTGCTATCTTTCAACCAAGTATGTTTTTCAACAATAATTACGCCAGTTACTTTTTTGGATAGCTGCAAATGATGGACTTGGGCTTTAATAACTGGCTCTTTGTAACCATAGAGGGGGTGTTTGCGGTGGGAGTCCATAGACTGAATCCAATAGACCTTTATCATGCTGCCGCCATTTCAGTCATGTTCCCTGTATCCAGTAACAGGACTGAATGATAATGTTTTTTGTGCAAAAAGGAACCAGACTATTTTTCCTTCCAGCCTCGCTTTTGGTTACCTTGATTTAAATGGGGAAAAATAACAATGGCCACAACATAGTACTGGTCTGTGCATTGTTGTCCCTTTGTTGCAACAACAGACACCATATTGTGTGACAGGCATGTTGCACACTGTACTCGTGCTAGGGCTGTTAGGAATATTTGAATATTCGATCATCAACCAAATATTCAAATAATTTATTGCCGGATTGAATATTCAAAAACAAAACAGTTACGCACATACACACACGACTGTGATGATATTTTTTCGTAAAGTTGCAGCTCTTTATTGTCAGATATGCCACTTTTTTGTTAATCGTACCTTTTCTGTGAATATATTTGACAGCAAGAGTAAAGCAACTTTAAGCCTTATCAAAAGTTTCACACTCTCGTTTTTAAACATCATCCAACATAACTGTTTATTGTTGTCTCTAGGTTGGTACTACGGCACGCGAGTCAGCGATCACGCCAAGGGCTGGTTCCCAGCCAATCACACGCAGGAGATAATCAACGACCACGTGCTGGCACGTAACCTCAAGCAGCGACACCGACTACTCTCAATGTGCGACCAACACCTCTGGAAGGCCAAAAATATGAGGAAGTGAGCCCTCTGTTGGTCACATGAACTGCTGTTGCTCTAACAACCACGTGGACCAAATGATAAAATGTACAATAAGCTGTTTCAAAATGACAACACGTGCATCAGCTCTGGTGATATAGAAGGTACACATGCAGCTTTCTGCTGATGACATGACATCACATGACCACATCACATGACCAAGTCATATGACTTCCCAGTAATACTATATTTCCCAGGAGCCCTTGATGCCAACATAAACCTGTGATTCTCATCAAAACTGAATCGTGAAAAAAGTAGCCTGCTCGGATGTATGGTCTGATGGTCACATGACCTGGATCACGTGGATTACCCTAAGGTCACATGAGTCTGTGTCACATGACATTCTGTAGTTCTGTAAATGTGATTCTCATCAAAAGTAAATCGTAAAACAAACCCAGCCTGCTCGGATGTATGGTCTGACAGTCACATGACCCAAGGTCACATGAGTCTCTGTCACATGACTTTGTGTAGTACTGTTTCCTTTACGGGCATATGTCTATGGCTATGCTGTTAACTATTGGTAACACTGCAGTCATAGCTGTAAAATAGCTGATTCTGACGCGACCTTATGATGCCAGTCATGATAGTTCTCTATTCATTTCTCACTTAAAGCAATTGCAATTCATTAACCCTAACATCTTTAGGGCTGTTTGGGGGTCAAGGACCAAATACCACAGAATACAACATGTGTTGTGCACACTTGTATGGAAAGAAATGCATACTACAGCAGTATTTTATAGCTTTAGGTTAGGTTAGGGAACTCTAAGAAATGAAGGATAATGTCAGATGAGGTGATTGACAAATACAACACGGCACTTCCAGAAACAGAAACAGACGGTATTTCCATTAATAAAAGAACATTTGGATGACGGGGGAAAAAAAGCTGCCTTGTATAAAATTAATGGAGGCTGTCAGAATATTTGTAATTCTAATCTTTTGGTAAAAAAAAAGTAAAAGAAGAGTTGCTGTCCTCTGTGGGTAGAAATGCAAAAGCGCACCATGTGTTGGACACACATAGAATGACGACGTACTGTATTTTTGTAACTTGGGGGCGGGGCTTGGATTCCCCACCCCTCAAAAGACACAAAACCATTTCAATGTCGTTTAAAAATGGCATACTTGTTGACACCATAGTATTGTTGATGCACAGATCGGGCTGTAGTATTTTAGCAGTATTCCTCTGTATATAGCTGTATATTTGTAAACTATTTTTTTCCTGCGATATATTTAACCAGAAAGTAACTTATGCCTTGACTTTTGAAGTACATCAAGTATAGAATATGCTGAATAGATGTTTGCCACTGGCAACTCCTATCCCCATCATAGTATTAGTGGGAACCATTTAGTGGCAAATGTTACATATATGGGGAAAAGTGCAAGGGCGGATCCAGAACACAATTTTTGGGGGGGGGGGCCAAAAAAAAAAATTTGGTCCCCAAAAAGTGGGTCCAAAAAATTACCGTGTGGGGTTTGGGGCCCGTTTATTGGCCCTGGAAATTGTTTTGATTCTAGATGCTCTGTGGTGCGATGTGAGGCAATTTCTGACCAATTTAACCAATTTTTATTTTAGGAAAAGATGGTGGTGTTGGCAGTGGTTGCTTTTTTTGCGACATCACTTGAAAAAAATTATAAAAATTGTGGGTTTTTTGGGGGGGGGGGGGGCCTGGATCCCCCCCCCCCCAATCTGCCGATGGAAAGTGCCATTTGCCAGGAAGTGGCAATTGCAAACTATACTGAATATATAAAATCATCTTCACATATATATGTTCATTTTTCTTCGTTCAAGCAAATGTAAATGTATCTATTGCAAATTACAAGTCATTTGCTCGAAGTTCACGCAACGTGTAAGGTCTCTATGGTCTTTCAGGTAATTTACATAATGCTAGCAGGGTGAACTTTTCAGAACAATAACTGCCAGTTTTCCTTCTTTTGAGGGCCAGGATCTGTTAAAAACTGAACGCTCTTTGCATTTTGTTTTTGTTGTTTATGATCGGTAGTTTCATGTATACTCGACACATTCCAATCAATTTTGTTTTCAAGAAATTTGGAATTTTCTGACAGGACACAGGTTTTCTTTTCCAGGACGTCTTCTCTTCAATTAAAAAAATTAAAAGCCAGCACATTCGTGCTAACGGACCAACTTTTCAGTCCATGAAAACACAAACAGAATTACTTTTGTTTACTAATAAAAATTTGAAAAATGCTTTCATAAACCTTAAGTTAATATATTTTCCTCATGTTTTCAAAGAAACTTTCAAGCATTTAACTATAAAAATAAACATCATTACAATCATTATACAGATTATTATTTTATTTTCTTTCATTTTAGTCTTTCTGTTACCTGTCCGTTAATGTTTAAGTTGACATTATGTAGATAACAATTAGCTTTAGGTTAGGCAGTCTGACATGAATATGGAGATATGCAAATTCTAATGAATATTTATTGATTAAAGTACAGAATATATAAATAAACTCTGAAGTATGCAGTTAGAGATATATTTACTTTTTGATTAATTCTATTGTCAGACGTATCCCTTGCAGCAAATTGGTCCATAAAATCCGAGTGAATGTTATTTGCATTCATTGTTCCTGAATTTAAAAAAGAGCACCTCGAACTTGGCTGCTGTATGCAAAATGTCAATTCAAATATGGTACTCAACTCAAAGAATAGACTTGATCCATTCAGTAAATTTGTGAGAACAGAACAATGATATCAAGAGCATTGTTGTTATTTAGTCAACCAGTTACATAAAAGCATTTTAAAGAACGCTTGTCGTCGAGCTACCACACAGTAGCCTAGTGGATAGCGAGATGAGCTATAGATACAAAGATCCCTGGTTCACATCCACCTTGTTGCAGCTCATTATCGTCAACTATATTTCTTCTCCAAGTTTATCTTTGCGTTAATATTTATTTAAGGGAAAAAGATATTCAAATTGAACTCGCAGTTGGCTTATTTTAAAAGTGTTTGGGGAGAAGTCCCATATTTTCTTGCTATGAATGAAGATTTGAAAAATGTTAACCTTAGATCACAAGTACTTGGGGTTAAGAAAGTAGTGTTTCAGTATTAAGCACAATGCCATAACAATGAGTGACATGAAGCCTTGTAGACCGAAATGTATTGTGCAGTTTATTTTGTCTTTTTAGTATTGCTTACACTGCATCCAAATTACATGGTTATGATCAGCAGTAACACTATGGAGTGGCTAGATCCAATTTTATACAACTATGTATTGGCCGGCCATACCCGAAAGAATGTATATGCAGCCTTAATTTCTTGCTGCAGCTTTTCCATATCAAAAGGTAAAATTTCTGAGAAATTACTGCTATTTTAATAGACAGGGCAATATACTGTATTCCTTTGAATTATAAAGTAATACAAACATTATCTTATGTTTTAGCCATGTCTTTTTTTCTCTTTTCTATATCATGGATTTTTTTTGGTGATGGTGTTTTGTAAACCAGTTATTTCAACTTGTGATGTGAATTCTATGATTGCATTTAATTTTCTTTTACAGCAGATTTATAAATAAAAAAAGTTGTGATTAATATGCAAATGATTTATATTCAGACTATGTGTTTCTTTTTGAGTTGTGCTTCCTAAAAACTAGTGAGAAAATAAGTCAAAGTTTTAAAGAGTGAAGTTTGTGCGGACTCTTAGCCCTCGGACCAACTTCGTAGGTTGGAATTACACCAACACACAATTCCACTTTTCAAAAACTAATTGGTTAATATTCAGCACTTGTATGCAAAATAATACTGTTCTTATAGGAAGTTGAATCACTTTCCACAAAAGTTTTGTACATCCATATAAGTACATGTATAATCTCTCCAACTGACGTCACCCTCATGCATAAATTCCCTCAGATGTAAATTATTAGCACTTCCCAAATGCAGCTATGACAGCATATCCAACAGCATCTCTTGGGCATCCCTTTTCTAATCTTTGATTCTCAATACCGACCGACCCTATTTTCCCAACCCAAAAATAAACCTTTTTAATTATTGCTTATTGCTTAAAAAAATTTAAAAATGAAAAATCTTGCCAAAGATGGCTTTATTATTTTGTTCGGTGATATCAACTCATGATAATCTCATTGCAATAAACAAAACAAGCACTTGGCATCATTTAATTCAGCATCTATATGGGTGTACATGTAACTGCAATTGTTTGCTGACCGACCAACCCTACTTCAGAGACCAAAAAAATATGAGAACCTTAGAAATAAAAAGGGACACCCTTTATGAAGACTTGGACGTTTGAGGTGCTGTGTCCACATTCCACTTTTTGGAGCTGTTGGCTGTTGGTGTGAGTTGGTTGTTCTACCATAAGACATCCTCAGAGCTTACTGAGAGGCACAGTGCTATATGTTCGTCTCGTTCCTCAGGAGTCAATCTAAATGAAATTAACATTAAAAAAATACATTCAAGACTTCCAGAGATTTTACTATAAATTTGACTATTTAGAGATACATCGGATCATTTGCTTTTGTGCATCTTTTTTTTTGAAGCAACAAAAATGCTCAAAATCTTAAAGAGGTTGTGGAATGCTCGAAGACATTTCCGTCATTTTTCGGGTATATGTAGCCTAAGGTGTGATGAAATAAAAACGACTATTGTGTCTGTCATGAAATGAGTACAAAAGGTACTTTTGAGAGCTGTTTTTCAGGTTCTGTTTCGACCCGAACGTGCAGTTTGTGTAAAAGTCGTCATTGGGGACAGCAAACAAAACATAGCCCCCAACGACGACTTTTAGGTCGAAACAGGACCTGAAAAACAGCTCTCAAAAGTACCTTTTGTACTCATTTCATGACAGACACAATAGTCGTTTTTATTTCATCACACCTTAGGCTACATATACCCGGAAAATGACGGCAATGTCTTCGAGCATTCCACCACCTCTTGAAGGGTGCAAAACAACTACATGTAACTTGTTGAAGTTTCAGCTCAGTGGATACTACACATTTTGACAAAACAGAGAAAACAAATGCACAATTGTCAGGGTCTCGCATTTGTCAGGCTTGTTTGAATACAGTTCTTATCAACAGTCATTTTAGACTTGTTTGTAAATGATAATAACTCCTTTAAGTTTATTAAAAAAAAACTGTATGTCCGAGAAGACATTTCAGTCTCCTATTTAAGTTTCAGTTTGCACCCAATGACCGCCACAAAAATTATTGTATAAACTTTCATCTTTGTACGAGTACACCGAGTTCCACTAGTCCACATGTAGTTCAGATTTTCGGAAGTGAGAAGTCAATTTTTGGCACGAAACTTCTCTTTCACGTCATGCGATTTTTCAGTTTTCATGAATTGAGATGCTGGTAACAATTTTACAAAGGCATATTTCAACTGTGATCTTCTTGAGAATCAATGCATCAAAAATAATTGGAAAAACTCTGGCTTTTACACTCTAATTTTCCAATTCGATGGGTCCGGAAGCGCGCCACCAGGGGTCAATTTTCAGGCTCTGTAGACCAACATATCAGCATATCTTATGCCAATGCGCATTTGGAATAACGAAGTTCCTGGCTCAAAATTTTAAAAAGTTTTTACTGAAAGTTCAGGAGATACTTGGTTGACACTTGACTATGTTTATGATCTTTTGCAGACTGTAAAATCGATTGGAATAGAAAGATGTACAATGTTCTCTACCTTTTGGGGAACTGCAGACCACATAAAGGACAGCTCAGGATGGCACCAGAGTCTGAGGTTCCTTGATAGGGGTAGCTTCTTCCATACAAGCCCTTGGCAATCTGGTTATCCCACAAAGTATTTGGTTGACTATCCCGTTTGGGGGTAATATTCCAATTGGTCCGGATGTCTCTAGCCGTCTGGAATCCTGAGTACAAGCGAGTGTTTGCTTTTTTGGGGCTACCGGTAGATGTTGATGGCTTTTCCTCAGGTTTTCCAAGAGGCCCAACAACCTGGTTTGACCTGAATACAGACTGATTGGTGTGCTGGTCCATATGGGGACTTACATATATATCCCGATTTACGCCTTTTGGCATATTTCTGTGATTAGTATCTTGTTTGGGGTGGCTTCTTCCATGCAAGCCCTGGGTAGTCTGGTTATCCCCCAAAGTATTTGGTTGTTTATCCCGTTTGAGGTTAATATCCCGATCAGTCCGGATGTTCCTAGCTGTCTGGAATTCTGGGTGTAAGCGAATGTTTGCATTTTTAGCGCTACCAGTAGATGTTGATGGCTTTTCCTCGGGTTTTCCAAGAGGCCCAACAACCTGGTTTGACCTGAATACAGACTGATTCCTCGGTTGTTTGGACAGTGGGTTCTGACCAGGATTGGTGTTGGTAGCTGGAAGAGTGAAGCCAGTCATTTTTCCTTGTGGTGATTCGTTTAAAGTTCCAGCAGCTCCTTTGTGTAGAGTTTTTCTGGAATTGTCCATGCCCTTCGCGGTTGCAAAGTTAAGTTTCTTCTGACTTTCATTATTTGTATAGCTGCTGCTACCTGTAAAAGAGTCTGCCTGGACTTTTGTCAAGACTTGTTCAGTATTTTGCACTTGTACTGAATTGAGTTGTCCAGATCTTTGCTTCTTAAACAGTGGCTTTACGTTTGTGGACGTGTTCCAAGCACTTTTCTTGGCACTTGAGTTTGAAGACGCAGCACTTAAATGTTTTGTTTGCGTCAATGAACCTTGTTTACAGACATGATTATTTGATGAGGCTTGCTTTGGATGCTCAGAGGAACTTAGATAGGCAGTAATTGGTTTCCCAAGGGAAGATTCCTGAGAGTTCCTTGAGGGAGTGGAAGGCTGCACCTTGGTGTGCCCTGGACTTGTCCTGACTAGCATGCCATCCAATCTGGTCTGCGCAGTCTTGCTAAACCCGGGTTTGACTTGTCCATCACAGTGTTTAGGGACAGGGGATTTAGGTCTGGATATTAACCTGGTTGCAAGGCTTCCAGAAGCACCTGTACCTGAAACCTTTATCAACTTTGGCTTCTTGCAAAATCTTTTGTCGGTGTCACTGGAAGATCTTGACAGTTTTCGTTTAAAACCTGTCAATGGGGAGGATGACGTGGTTTCTACTTCGTCATCACTGTCTAGAACAATGACTTCAGACGAATCCAGGTTTTCTTGGGCGAATCTTGTCGGTAAAGCGGCTACCGAGTTTGTATGCGTTGGCGTCAGAGAGCTCTTTGACAAGGCATCGGGGTTGACCGACTGCCGGTTTGAAGGATCAGACCTTGCCAAAGCACCGCATGTACCATCTCGTCTTGATGCAGACAGAACCTTCTTCACAGAGATTCTATGCTGTAGATTGCTCCTGATTTTCGCCAAAACTTCAACACTCTCCTCAGAACTGATGGGAACAACTTTGGGGAGTCCTCCAAGGCCAATTGCTTGAGTACTTGGAGAAGAATGTTGAGCATCCTTTGGGAATGTCCTAGTATTGGAAAAAGCCATTTGTCTAGGCTCAAGCTTCCCAACCTTAGCATGTAAACCAGACTCTGTTTGAGCAAGTCTTGGCAAACCATTCTCATTCTTTAACGATGGTACCTTGAGTTCTCCAGAAAGTCTTAACTTCTGCCCTTTCCTTTTGGTGGCAGACAAGCTCAGTGCCTTCCTGTGAAGGGATTGCGGCTTCCTGTCATCTAGGGGATTTGTACTTTGCTTGGAATGACATGAACTACCATTCTGCGGTTTCACAGGCACATTCTGATGAAGTTTTCTCTCAATTTTTATTGCGTGATTAAGCTGAGGTTTTGACAAATTTCCAGCTTCAGAATTAACTGTTCGGGCAGATTTCTGTTTCAAAATTTCACTCTTGACATCAATTTCACGGTTTGAATCTTCAGACATAGCTCCATTCCTCGGATCCGTAGATCTCTGAAGTGGTTCACTCTTAATGTCACCAGGGATTAGCTGATCAGGAACAAGTTCGGCATTCCGTGCGCAGCTTTCACGTTTGATGTTGGGGCTTGCTCCTGCAAATGCGCGTAAGCGATCTCGGCTCTCTGCTGCCCTCTTCTGTTTGCTCCTGACTAGGCACATGCGGCAGTATGCTGGTAGAGGGCGCCATTTAACTGAGACACCACCGACCTTGATGACTTCTGTTCCCGTCACCTGGAGTTCCTCTTCCTTCACCTGTTAGATCCAAATTAAGCGAAGATAAAAATACAAGTGGTGGGTCAATTACAATTTTTTTTTTTAAATTTAACATCAATCAGTAATGATCTCTTCAGGAATTTGGCCTGCAAGTGTACAATTACTTTTACTATACCTCATACAAGAGCCGAATCATGATCAAGAGCCGAATTCTCACTGGTCAATTCATGATCAAGAGCCGAATTCTCACTGGTCAATTCACCATCACGTGCCAGGAGCTATTTTCGCTGTTTACCACGCATGCACTCGAGTATTCACGCACAGGGTAAGTACGCATGCGTAGTAGGCTATCGCATGGGTTACCCGTGTGATAATCCGCTACGCAGGCGTTTTACGAAACATCGTAGATCTATCGCACGGGTGTAGTACGCAAACACAAAAGAAGCCTCTAGCAACACATAAAAGAATGTGGCACACAGGATGTTAATCAGTGTTTTCCAGAGCTCCATTTTGGAATTATTTGCCGGCCCGATGATACTTTGGCTCTCTCAAGATAGGTTCATTTCAACATGAAAGGCCTTTTAAGAAGACGTATTAGTAGATCCATTAGTAGTCCGTTTTTAATTTGGCGAAGTGTGCGCAAGCATTGACAAGACGTACACGCGTGCTGGGACATTGAGTGCAGAAAAACATGCAAAACAAATTCAGGCCAACTTCATTTACTCTTTAACTGACAAAATTTTCCAAAATTTTCATGAGGCACAGTCTCATTTCAATATGTAAAGGAGACTTTTCTTCAATATTTTGCACCTGAGAGTGAAGCCAAGTGATTTCAATTTGAAGCCCAAGACTAGACAGGTACGTGGCAAACTGTTTGAAAAGGCTGAATGCTTTAGTAGTCTGGTAGCAGACTATGGAGGGATGTGCAGTAATAGAGACCAGTACCAGATGTTTCTTTGACACAGTTGACCGATGCAGTACTAAAGGGGTGTTGGACTGGTTGTTTCATGTGCCAGTCTATTTTTTTGCATTGCGTGTTTTTACTATCTTAAGTTTTGGGGCTGTCACACAGTATTGAGAGTTCGAAATTTTCAGACTACCTCCCAGTCCCAACCTACCTTCAAACCATACCAGCCTGGTAAGTCCGGCAGAGTGGATTGACCAAGACTAGAAGTCAGTTGGCTTGAGCCGAGACTAGCCTGATTGCGGACTAACCGGACAGAAGGACATGATGGAGTGGCTGAGTCGCTATCATAGCGGGGAAGTCTTGCTTTCACTTTCAGGGAGGATTTGCTCTTCTCATCAGCAGACTGGCCTTTTGAAAATCTGAAATGCAAAATTGTTTCCAATTATTTACCAGGCAATACAGCCTGTACAGGGGCTGCTCAAAGTGTAGTCCGAGTATCATCTGTTGTTTAACAGCTTTCAAATTCATCGTTTGGGATGAAAAACAAAAGTTAATTTTGGAAATAATTTACTTGATGGAACAGCCCTTCAGTGGGGAGCGACTTCAACTTTGTACCGGAGGACTAGGTTTGCCATTATGGAACGGCAGCTTCATACCAGCACACCGTGCTCCAGCATACCGCGGTAGCAGTGCGGCAGTGTCAGTGTGTCGATTATTTGCAGGCTTGTTACCGGAAAATCAGGTAAGTCACATTTTCTCCCAATTTACTGTTCTAAAACCAAAAAAATAGGGTCAGTATAATTCAGAGAACGTTGCCTGAGGTTGCAGACTTTTGGGGCAGAGTTTGGGGGAGCAATAAAACTTTTTTTAAGAATAACAAAAAACGGAGATGTCCTCAACTACACAATCCCCCAAAATTTGACATATATGCAAATTAAGAGTGACAAATTAAGAGATAAAGGAACCATTGGAAAGTCTTAAGTTTGGTGAATATAAGTATGATGCTTTGGTAAAAGTACCCCCATGCCGAGTATTAGGCCAAAATATTTCCATGAAAAATGCCATCAATTTACAAACTTTTTGTGCTCACATGGGTATGGCCAGGCCTTAGCACAGAGTTTGCGGGGCCATAGAATAGGGCTAACGTTGACCAACTGAACGGCGAAAGTGAAGTGTAGGGCCCCTGTTTAGCTTTGATCGATTAGAGTCGAAGGTGTTTTTTATCACTTTTTAAACCTAATAGGCTAAAGCAGACTTCTCTCAATTCTCATGACAACCTTTTTGTAATTTTCAACAGTTTCCTGGGGTAGAAATTACAATTTTCCTACGCAGTTTACGGTTGGTGCCGTGCGATCCATTGCGATTCGCAGGTTCATGGTAGGCCTACGTTGCGGTGATACTCCAGCTGACATGCTCATCAGGATTTCGACATCAGCTGGAGTTACTCAAACTAGGTGACCGCCATCTTTATATCTTTAGTTTTGTGTTGCATACTGTCGTTGTCATCGTCATTTTACCCCAAAATTTCCCTCAAAACTTCAAAACCATACCCCGAGATCTATCAATGACATACCTGCATGTTCTTAATGTCTCCAACTAGGCTAGTTTGGTAATGTTATTAGGCCTAAGTTAAATAATTTAAAAGTGGATTTTTTCCCCCTTATAAGGAACCAGTCCCGTAACTACACAATCGCCAAAGTGCTAGATTTTATATGCTAACTAACCAGACCTCTGAACGTGGCGTTGTATACATACAATAAGCCACGTTCACGGTTCCCGATAACCCATGGAGCTTATTCCTCCATGCATAACCACAGCAGTTTAGTCTAGTTGCCGATACACTGTTCTACAATTATCAGCCAGCATGGCCAGAGCTACTTCTGAAATCAGAAGGCTTTAGACGGAGGAAGCCTTCTGATTTCACAAGTACTTGAAGTAGGCCAGAGCCTTATGGAACCAGCATTTAAGCGCCTATCAAATAATTCCCCCCCCCCCCCCCCGCCCCAGGTCCGATGTCGGGATTTGGTCACCTTTTTTTATGCCCCAGGGTGGGGATTTTGGTCACTCAAATTACATTAACATTGGTGTAGGCCTACTACATCATGTACATGGTAAGGTAATCACTAGTGCGCCCCACGTATGGCATGGTCGGGGATTGTCACTTAAATTTTGCCCGAGGGGTGGGGATTTTTCACTTCAAAAGTGACAATCCCCACGTCTTAGGTGGGGCAGCCCGGGGGGGGGGGGGGAGGGGAAACAGTTGGTCTACCACCTATCCGTTTTTCTGCCACCTCCATCTGGTCTCCTCTTTGTCTGGTTTGAATCTGCAACAAAGTCATCGTCCTCCACACAGTTTTCAGCATTTCTCTTTCGTTTTAAACTCAACTTTCCCCGCCGGTCGGTGCCGGTGGCAGACGCAGAAGCCATAACAAAGTTTGCGAGTGTTTTTTTTTTTTGGCCAGCGGACGCCACTACCGCTTCACTTGAAGCACGCCCTCTCTTGATCTTCTTGTAAAGCAACAAGTTCGTTTCGCTCATTGATCTCCATATACAGTAGTCTGTGTATATGGAGATCAATGGTTTCGCTCGTACCCCCCCCCCCCCCCCCCCCCCCCCCCCCGCCCTGTAAACAGGACGCTGGGATACTCTGATGAATTCACGCTCTGATTGGTTGGATTTTGCGTGACCAGTGACCTGCGCGTCATCAAGGTCATGACTCCGCAAGGTTTGAAACGGCCGTTAAGACTGATTCATTACTCTTTTATTCCAGTTTAGGCCAAAAAAAAGTCTACGGTTTCTGGTATGGAGCTTGCCCCAAAAGTGGTGCGGCGACGCGGCTTTTTTTATTTTTTTTGGCTTCAAATGTCGGCTGATGACTGCAAATGGTGCCCGACTAAACTTAGTGCAAATATATGGGAGTCCAGAGAAGCCACATAGAGCTTATTCTCGATCATAACCCCATCTAAAAACACGTTAAAATTGTGCAGCAGCAGGATTCCAGTCAAACCAGTGAGTTTGGCGGTTTTGAGACATCATCTTGTATTGAAAAAAAAACTTTTTCATTTTGCCGACACGCATGGCTACGGCGACGCGCGCGCATACCAGAAACCGGAGACTTTTTTTGTTGGCCTTAGAGATGTATTTTTCTCGTTGAAAAGCGTAATAATGTAGGAAATTCTGTATAACTTATCTGTGTTGTAAATTTACAATTCCCGTCACTTGCTCCAGGCTCCGTTTCGAATCACGGACGGTCGGATTGCATTATGCGACGCTCAATTTTTTTTCCACATGGTCCGCAATGAAACAAAAATCACATCCGGTATTGAATGCGCGCATTTCTACAAGAAGTTTTCGGATAGTATTTGCGCATATTGTCTAACTGCGGTCTTGAACAGCTGCAGCCAGATGCTTTATACAAAGGTGATAGGCCATTTCCTTCACAAGATTCTGTGAAGCTCATCAGAGTATCCCAGCGTCCTGTTTGCAGGGCGGGGGGTACGAGCGAACGAGTTCGTTCGCAACCGGCGCCCCAATCACCCACATACATGTACCAACCATGTTCAAGAAAGTATTTGTATAATTAATAATTGAAAAAAAGAAAATTCATTTCTTTTGAGATTTTTTTTCAAAATATAAACCTACATAATATGCAACTATGAATGTGTGGATCTATCCAGGATAATGCGTGATTAATGACGCGCGTTTGTTAACTACCCGCGGGCCCCACCTCTATTGCCAAACACTTGTCGATCGTCTCCAACGGATATAGATCAGAAGTGAAGAAATCTTGTGAAAAATGTGAGGATTCGAGACTGTTTGGTAATCTTGAATACGAGGAGGAGGCTTAATTAGTGCATGGGTGTTTTTTAAGTTGGTTATTTTGTTTTGCATTTGGAATTTTGAGAGTATGACCGGCGGTGACTAATAAACAAGGTGGCAGCTCCAATGCTCATCGGGAATTCGACATTCTATGAAGAGCTGGAGCTCAATCTACTTTGTAGCCAGCGGTGTAATGGTGGAGGCCGTGAAATTTCGCATCAACACAGCCGAAATCATTATGTTTTTCTTCATATTTTAGTCAGTTTTGTTAAGTCGATCATTTGCTTCGTGAATCACCGCCTCCGCCATTTCAGACCGCTGGCTATAAAGTAGATGACCTCCTGCAAGCTCCACACTCCCGATGCAATGAGCATTGGAGCTGGAGATACATGCATAACATCCCACTACACCGAGATTATTGCACACGTGTGTCGCTCACGTGATGTCGCAGCGGGGTCATTTCATTGGACGGAAGTCTGCAGTCGACAATTTTTATCTTACCGCTAATTGGCTGCGATTCTATAGCAGCCCCCAGTCACGAGGTCAACTGGAATCAGCTGGCCGGGTCAACTCGTGGCACATGCACATCCCGATCCCGCACGCATACATCCTATAACTTTTTAGAGAATAGGTCAGTTTTTGTTGACAGTTGACAGTCGAGGGGATTCGTAACCAACGCCTTAGTGTGCAGCATCAGGGAGGTGGACTGAATGTTCCTAGATTGCGTGAGTAATACTACTTACTAGATGAAGAATGCACATTTTGCTGTAACACTAACAGTTATCTGAAGAGATGTACGTAACATCAATCTGAATCAGAAGCAGTAGACATTACTGCATGCAGAAGAAACATGCATGAAAGTCTGCCAGGCCATTCCCCGTTCGTCACTGAGGAAAATAGGCAAAGGGTTCTTCAGTGTTCTTTTACCAGCTGTCTGATGACACGCGCGGATGTAGCAATAAAAATACTGACTTCGTCTTCTTATCTTAGTAAAAGTCAACTGGTGACGTGGCACGTAAAAAATGATGCACCTTCCTTTTTTTGTCGTGAAATTTATACTGACAAATCACGGAGGAATATTATGTTCTCAGACCGATCGAGGCTCTCAGTGATCTAAGCAGTTCTATGAATTGAAGACCTTTAATTTCCTCTCAACAAAGATAACACTTATCGAGGCCCTCGACTTCAGTGCATGATTTGAAATTCCGCTATTGGTTTGAGATATTCGTTTATTTTAACAAGCAAGTGACGTATACACCATACAGTTATACTTACAGCTGGAGAGGATGTTGCATATTCCCTGGCCCCTGGGCATATTTAGTTGTATCTAGTAGCCTATATAGCTACCATATCTGCCACTTCTTTTAAAAAATTTATTCAGTTACTTATTGTAGTGTAAGCTTATTGGGCCATTGTTTTCCAAATCTAGCAAAACGCAGGAAAAGGGGACACACTACACACAGGATCCAACTCCAGAAGAAACTCAACTTTATTGACAGCAAAAACTCTGTGGTCAACTTGCCACACCGATACCAGTACCACAACTGCTGATTCCCAGCATAGAAAACACAAAGTCTGAATAACTGTATACACTGTTGTAACAACCGTTACCCAAACCTGGATCGAGCCAACTCTCTAAATTCCAAAGAGTGAAATTCAGGACTAGACGTTTTAGAGTGAAAATCACTTTCTTGTTTGATTGAAATAGTCTGAAAAAAGCAGAACCACTTCAGATGAAGCTCGAGTGAAAACTCGATCTTAACGATTGAAGGAATTTCACTGTAAAACGTCTAGTCTCTAGTTTCCGACTGTGGGAGTGAATCTTCACTCGAAGGGAGTTAATTTTCACTCTTTGGAGTTTAGAGAGAAGCCCTGCCCGGTAAGTGAACAAAAAAAACCCACTTAAGCAACTTATTTAAAATTATATAGAGCCTATTTCCGGAGCGCGCGCTAGCCAGACCCAAAACCAGGTCAAGTGCGCGCCGCCGCGGAGCCCCTCGAGTCGGCTTCCGCCGGAGCCCTAGTGTGCAAGAAAGCAACAACAAAAGTGCTGCATGAACTATCTGTAACAGTATCATACATCAACCAAAATCCATAGTGTATGGGAGGTGGTTCTCATTGTCTACAAGTTTGCACCTTGCGGAAGGAAGAAAGGAAGTTGGATTATGAGGTGATTTCATTCATTTTCTCTTCAATGTCCTTTATAGTCTGAGGATCAGTTTTGTGGCCTACTAAGTACGAGATGCTGAGGAACTGGGGCTGACACTGACACTGTTGCAAATAGAGTTTCGTCCTGTTTAACCTATTTTCACCGTGGCCCGATTTTGCTTCTATCACTCGTCCCGAAAGTTGCTTTTAAAATCTCCATGCCGCGCCATTGCAATCCGCGACTTTGCACCCCTGGCTATGCCACTGGTTGCTGAACAAGAATCTGCCTCCATGATGTGACACAGAGGAAGTCTGGGGCAATGCGACTTGAAGGATGAATTTCTAGGGCTACATAACAGTAAGGATCTCCATGGATCTCATCACACCGAGAATATCTGTGGGCTATCGTCACTCAGATGATATGTGGAGAGGCAGTCTCGATTAAAATGTGATTGATGTGACACCAATGATGTCTGGGACTTTACATGACAATAATTGAGAAGGACGTTCAGGGCTGATGACACTGATGATGTTTGGGACTAACATCAAGGTTGTCTGCATGGGGCTGGCATGATATCAAACATAATCTGGGGTTGGAGTGACACCAAGGATGTCTGAGGTTGATGTGACAGTGATCATGAGGAGATCTTGGGCCAGCACGGCAGTTAAGGATGTCTTTGGCTGACATATTGTCTGAGCCTGATACAGCAGTCGAGTCTCGTTAATACAAACTCGATCGGACCTAGCCAAATTGTTTGTTATATCAGAATTTTGTATTAAGAGGAACATCAGTCCCACTCATTGTGCACATAAATGCACAATCGGGACCAAGGCTTTATGTTTGTTATAACCAGAATTTGTATTAACAGAGTTTGTACTAACGAGAATCAACTGTATTGTGAAGACATCGTGTCTTGGGCTGATATGTGGCACAGATGATAATAACGGCTGATGTGACAGTGATGATGCCTCAAGATCTTGCCACATGGAGGATGCCCTGTGAATCATAACAGCAACAATCTTCGGGGTCGACACTGAGGATGTCTGTGGCTGACATGACGATTTCTATGCTGATATTTGACACCGTGGTTGTCTCGGCCAGTGTTACACAGAGGATTATGCTCACTTGACATAAAGATGTTCAGGAGTGTTGTGACACTGGGGATCGAGTGATCTGGGCTGACATGAAGCTCGGGATGTCAGGAGCTAATTCATATTTCATTCAATTTCTCTTTGAGTCAACTGAGGCTTTTTTAGACTTATACAATTTAGATGCAAAGGAAAAGATATTAGACCAGATGAGGGACGCTTAACTTGGCTCTGTTGCTCATTGACCACCCAATTTGAGCCAATTTCGAATGAGATCGGAGATCTACAGGGTGAAGATCAAGCAAATAGGCTTTGGTGCTGAGCGACCCGCTGGAAACAAGCTGAGGCAATTGCTCAGATACACTGTGAGACTGTCCAAGGTAAGCAAGGATCCAGGGACGGGTCCAGAGGAGAAATGAGGTAGCTGAGGAACATAGTCTGGAACAAGCATTGATAACGAGAGACCAAGTAGAGGCTGAGAATTCAGAGAGGTAGATGTGGATAAGCCAAGGTAATTAGCTGATCGAGATGCAAAAGACCAGATAAATGATGTTATGAGTAACCTACTGAGAAGTACGAAGTTAAGATTCCAAGACTCCAGACAAGGAACCAGATTAGAACCCAGCCAATTCATATGAATGTTGTAATAGAGAACTATTGACAAAAGGCCCCATTATTGGTATAGACATCTGCCCTGTTCTTTTTTTTTCTCAGCGCAATACGTGAGAATCATGATGGTTTAACCATGGAACTATAATAGTAAACCAGGAATCTTTGTTTATCGAGATCGAGCTCGTTACAATATTTAGTGCCCATCTTCTTTCCAGTTCTGTCTTTAGATTTGCTTGTACGGGGAGAGCGCGAACGCAGTCCCCACTATCAGAAATTGTACTCCCGAGTTCCCCACGTTTGGGGGAATCGCATCAGTCAGCCCTCCGAAGTGCAATGGAAAGGCCTCGCAATGGGAGAACCGCCTACTTGATCACGGTATCTCCTGAGCCAGGTAAGTATGATAATCATTACGGAAAATGAGATGTAGCTGAAACGAGTTACTTTCCTTGTCACAGTAGCAAGATACAGCGCCTGGAAGCTGTAGAAACAGCGCTTTGAACAAGGTGTTGCGCATGCGTCAGTTACATAGATATGCAAATTTGGAGTTATTATTATGATAATAAATCATTCTGATGCACCCTGTCGTGACGCGAGCATGCACAAAGGTTACCATCCGTTCATGCATTGTATTGCACATGTACATGTACTGCACTGTGCTGTTGTAATTGTATGCGTGGTTGGCCACATATCTGTTATAATGACAGAATCATAAATTCTTGAAAACTTTATCCACTTTCAATAATCCAGGTGCCTACGACAGCCTGCGGTAAATGAGGAAGTATAGAGGGCACTCCAAATGCAGGAGGCGACATCAACGGACACCAACGCGACCTGGCAATCATTATATGAAAAGGTTGTGAACTACCTGCCGAGGAACAGAAGGCGCTGGAACCATGGAGAACACAATAATGCAAGAGCAGCTAGCCTATTATCAGGGATACTGATGTAGTTATCAAAACCATAAGTTCTATAGACTGTGAGAGGAGACGCCATTATACGTAGCCTACTTGGGTATCACCCGAAGGAATCACAAGAAATAGTTAATTAAGAAACGTATGGTGCTGTGCATTGAGAATGGAGAAATTTCAATTTGGCACTGAAGCCGAAGGCATGCATTGCTGTCTTGTTGAGAGATTGAAAAAAAAACACCTGAAACTGAAAGGTCCTCACTTCATACAGTGGCTTACAGCTTACAATTACGGCTTACAACTTACAACTACGGCTTACAATTCGTCAATAGGGCAAATCTGGGTATCGCCTGGCGTCGGACCACACAGTGCCACTATAAACTGAGAACAGGCCAACAGGAAAGTAAGAGGGACAAAATGAAAGAAACGATCCAACATTTCCATCTGAATTCTTTTGGGGAAGGCTAGGCAAACAGAAGAAGCTTAGGACTATGCCCTAGTGAAAATCACTTTTGAACTCCTTATTGTCAAGAAGAACGGCCATTCGAGGAGCTATGGATCGGATACAAGAAGATCAGGACTTTTCAGAGTGAAGAGCTAGAACTGTACATGATGGAACCAAGTATTCAGTTGTGGCTGTAGTCTCAGCCGCTATTTTTGGCATAAATTTTAATGAGAGTAGGTCTAGCTATTCGCCTTTTGGACAACCTGAGTTTAAGTGGAGTAGCAAAAGTTGCAACAAAGTTGGGTGTTGTATATTTTAACAAATCGGTTCCTCTGTACGCCAACTGCATTCTTATGTTTTTTTCTTGTTGAAAAAAACCTTTATGACTAGAAGCTTTGCATGGCGGATGAGATAAATTATAGGCTTGCGGGTAACACCATGTTACCGCTTTAAATTATTATAATATCGACCCGCGAGTTGTCCCATTATGCCAAACACTTGCTACACTTTTCAGAGGTTCCTTACTGAAAGTAAATAACAGGATCATCATCATGTCATATCGTTTTAGAGAACTTGAGGGAAATTTACTAAATTTCATCATCATTTTGTCGCGTTAGTTTAATATAGGGGGATCAAACCACCGCGCTTTTGAGCGTCGAGAAAAGAAATGTAGATGATATTTTCACAATTTTCTCAAGTATCTATTACTAGTTGTTGTGTTTGTCAATAACCTGCTTAAGGCTTGTTGTATTGTTGTTTTTTAAATAGTTCCCATTAGGCCTAAAGATCTTACAACCCTTTGCAGCCAGACGACGAGGCCGAGGAGCCTTGACAAGGTCGAATGAAACTACGAGACTATACGGCCTGTATCTGAGAGAAGGCTCCGGATGAATGATCCCACAACACTCGTATTGGGTGCTCTGCCAACACGTAATTTGATTATGAAGAAGACACATGATCCAAAGCTGGCCTCGAAGAGCAACAATTCCATCGTGGTGTGGTCTTTGGCCAAATGGACCGAAAGTAGAAATCTTAATTGCGTAAAGAGCATGGATTAATGTTTATTTTTAGCTGCGGGACAAATCATCATGTAGGCCTATCTCCGGTAAGTCCTTTAGTTTATAGTAACAAACGTACATGTATATGCATTGTCTATTGCTCCTATAATATTTTGACCGATTTCAACCAATTTGTCAAAAGTATCAGTATAGCCCCAGCCCCAACTTGTCACCAAAGTAGGGTCAATTGTCATATCATGAAGTCACTGGGGTCAAAAATCTGATTTTTTCACCAATAATCCTTCCAGAAATAGGCTTATGGCACAGCAACTATGATGTACGATGAGCATGTACACGACTTTGTTGGCCCGCAGCTTCCGAGTTATTCGATCGAGCTTGTTTTAATTTTCCACCCATAACGGGTGACCTGTGGTTCTTTCGAACTTCCATGCAACCCTAATATTTCTGAGAATCCGTTTCTCCTCCCATATACAGGGTGAGTCAAAAAAGCGAAACCCAAACCCCATAAAATATGTTTCATATTTAAAAAAAAATATGTAGCACCAAACATAATAATGACTAGAAAGCCACTTTCATAAGCTACTTCTAGATGGAAAATATGTATTGAAATTGCTCAATCCGTTCAAATAATATAACCATTTAAACGCAATGACCCTAAAACCTGTCTCGTCCAAAAGCAATTTATTGTGTGTTTTGACTGTTTGGAACAACGAAGAAAATTACACAGAATACTTGTTCCAACAACTGTCACCAACTGTAGTACACAATATCTTTATTAACAACCCTGGTTAGGCAAACAATGTGATTTATAAAATCTACTTTTTTTAAAAGATGGGCCTTCAAAAGGAATTTGTTGAATATTTTTAACGTTTAAACTGAGATTGTATCGCTGGTGATGTTTGAAGACAATTGTGACGACGATTCTTGAAATCGCATTTTTTGGACGAGACAGGTTTCAGGATCATTGTGTTTTATGGCGATATACTTTGAACAGATTCACCAATTTCAGTAATTTGTTCATCTAAAAGTAGCTTATGAAATTGGCTTTCCAGTCATTATTATGTTTGGTTCTACATATTTTTTTTTAAATCTGAAATATAATTGTTGGGGTTTGGGTTCCACTTTTTTGACTCGCCCTGTATACAAATGTATTGGTGGCACCGTGACGGCCTTAATTTCGTGAAAAGGGTGAAAATGGCGCTTGTTTTAACCACTCTCCCAAACCGTCGAAATCAGTTGGTTCAATAAGATTTAGTGAAATGAAACCGTGTCTTTGTGATTCAGAAATATACATAATCGAATCATCATGCATGTCGCCGAAAGTATGGGCCAAAACGGGGCCTATCATCCCGCGACCGTAGTACACAGTAGGCCTACTGTTAAATAAGATTTGAGGCTTTGCATGGTGGAGATACTAAATAATGAAAGGTTTGCGGAAACACCATGTGCGAATAATTTTTCAACTAAGAGAATGGTTCTGAAAAGAACCAGAGGTATTTCCTCTGGTTCTTTTCAGAACCATTCTCTTAGTTGAGAAATTATTTCTCAACTAAGAGAAAGGTTCTGAAAAGAACCAGAGGTATTTCCTCTGGTTCTTTTCAGAACCATATTCTTGGTTGAGAAATTATTCGCACATGGTGTTTCCACAAACCTTTCATTATTTAGGCCTACTGTTGTCAACAAATCCGTGTCCGACTGCCACAGTAGTTCACGTACTAGTAGCCATGATACTGCTCTCACTTTCAAGGACTTTGGACGGTTTGGCCTTGGTCCTGAATGGGAGTTCAATTTGAGTCAAGGAGATCGATGGAGCGGAGAGTACGTACTGCAGAGCACATTGATGCGGCTGTCAAGTGTAGACCCGAGGATACCAACCGTCTCAATCTCTTGTGTTAACTCTGATCACATCCGTCACCCAAATGGAGCTGGAACTATATGTGGATAGGTAGAGTTTATGATTTTTGTTCATGTAATTATATTATGTTTTAAAGTTTTAAAGTGCTGCCAAACAAAAATATATATACACATGTATATTGCATCTTGATCAGAAAATATTTTGTACGCTAGGAGTAGACTATAGGCCCATGACGTCATCACCTCCCTGGCTCGAAATTAAACAGGCAGTGTATTTTGCATGGCTGTATTATGTCTGCGATCCGCAGAGACCAAGTTAAGTCTTTATGAAAGGGCAGAAAAGTCCCAAATGTATGCCTTGTGCACGAATTCATCAAAACAATAATTAGGAGCTGATGGCCGTATGCGTGGCAAACTTACTAAGGGGTACAAAAAACCTGGAGAGGACATCCTGCAGTATGGAGGGGGACAGAATCGGGCCGGGGAGGACACTTTTACCTAGGTAATTCTGTCCCCGCGGACAGTTTTACCGGGGGACAGAATTACCGTCCACGCCGGATGCCGAAGGGCGGCTCTCTCAAGTGAAAAATTACCTTATTTGAGAACAATTACAATACACTTTGAAGTTTGAGACTATTTCAGGAACAGTACACTGTAATTTTTTTTAGTAAGGGAATTAAGATTTTTTTTTTTTTAAATTTTTAACGCAAACTTGTTTAAAAGTGCATATCAATGTGGGTAGTAAATTTTGTTCCGGGTATTTTATGTATAGGCCTATCAATTCATTGCAGTGTGAACGAAAATAGTTTCACCATTTTCTCCTCTTTCACACTGAAGGAAGGTGCCTTAAGTTTTTCTGAGCAAGCTTTAATGTCCAAGTTTTTGGTGCTGCCCTCCCCCTGCCCCAGTTTGAAAAGCGTTCCGCCGCCGCTGATCTGAAGCATGTAGTTTTATTACTGCTGAAAATTTAAGTTAAAAAAATCATACTTTTTCAGGGGAAAAGATTTGTTGTTTACAATGGCATTCACTCATGAAAAAAATGATACCGCCCCCAATGTGACGGTCACACTATGTGACGGTCACATGACAGTCGCGGCCGGGTTCATGGTCCGGTCACATCACGTGAGAGGTCACGATGCATACAGTTCAGTGCTAGTGAAAGGTGCTGCTGCCGGTGGCACCGTCATATGTTGAAACTTGAATGGAATGGGTACAAAAGCGTCATATTGTCTCCTTGCTTTTGTGAAAAGTATGACAATGTGTCCTTTCATGCTATAGCAAATAAACATGAGCAGTATTAACGAAAGCAGCAGCAGCAGTGGGAACGGTACACGGTAAGTGTGACGTTGACCAAACACGTACGTTGACGTATGACATGACAATGAGGCTGACACAGCAGTGTTCCTAGTAGCCCGACTGCGTCTGGCCGTACAGTACTATCGCAAGCTCTGTAGTACGGCCAGACGCCCGATGCTTCCACAGAGACTGAATTTTGATGGCCGCCGATGTAGCGATTTTGCTACATCTTTCGATCGCGATTATCTTTTCATCCAGGACACAAATTTCCAAAGTTAAGGTTTGTAGTCGTAGAGCAACTCATACCTTTTCGAAAAAACGTTCTTTGGTCTCAATATTTTCATCCATCTGGCCACAAGACGAATTCAGTCATCAGATTCCACAAATATCGTCCCCCATGCGATCCCCCATGCGATTTCAAAATGGCGGCCGCGCTGTAATGTATGCAATATGCAGGCGCGCCCGCGCAAACTCATGAATATGCATAATTAGTCTGTGACGTATGACCTCGTGTTTTTGGACGTGCGTGCAGCGGGGCCGTACGGTCACAGACTAATTATGCATATTCATGAGTTTGCGCGGGCGCGCCTGCATATTGCATACATTACAGCGCGGCCGCCATTTTGAAATCGCATGGGGGATCGCATGGGGGACGATATTTGTGGAATCTGATGACTGAAATTCGTCTTGTGGCCAGATGGATGAAAATATTGAGACCAAAGAACGTTTTTTTCGAAAAGGTATGAGTTGCTCTACGACTACAAACCTTAACTTTGGAAATTTGTGTCCTGGATGAAAAGATAATCGCGATCGAAAGATGTAGCAAAATCGCTACATCGGCGGCCATCAAAATTCAGTCTCTGTGGAAGCATCGGGCGTCTGGCCGTACTACAGAGCTTGCGATAGTACTGTACGGCCAGACGCAGTCGGGCTATGTTCCTAGTAGTAGTATGACTGAGTATGATCGCCGAGAACTCAGTACCCTCCGCACAACTTCAAGTGCTCCACCGATTTGGCATACTTTGGTGACTGGTACACGGTAACATTTTGTGCATACCTTCGCGAGGACAAGAGTCCCACCAAAAAACTGGTAAAGTGAGAAAGACAGTTACCCTGGATAGACATGATATGATGATAGACATAGCGTCGCAGAGCTGACAAACCGACGAATAAGCAAAAACCTTGTTTGGAGTAATTCGCGTTTGAAGTTGGACACTTCTCCGGGCGCCGTATTTTACCCTTAATGTTTCGATAAAAATACTGTTAGTATATATTCTGAATAAAATATGAAACTAAGTATCCACCAGGTCACTTATTTAATCAGAGAAGTTGTGCGATATGGTTTTATTTGATCGTAAACGCATTCGTCAGTTTGTCAAATTACATTAATCTGCAATATCCGGTTGTTCTTCACACTGTTTGTATGCTATTCGTCAGTTTGTCGGATCGCGCGTGCACGCACGCGCAATCCGACAAACTGACGAATAACATTCGTTGGTACTTTAAACGCACACCTTACATAAGATGGTTACCAGCGAAATGTTTGTATGCTATTCGTCAGTTCGTCGGATAGCGCGTGCACGCACGCGCAATCCGACAAACTGACGAATAACATTCGTTGGTACTTGGAACGCACACCTTACATAAGCTGGTTACCAGCGAAATTTCGTATTCGTCACTATGTCAAATTATGGATTTGTTTTTGTGAGTGATTCGCCACAAGGGGGGCTCTGAATCTCAAAATCCAGACAAATATTAAGAATTTTGGCATAAATACTTGAAAGAGCAACCTTCATAAAGCCTAAAAATAACAAAAAATCGAAATCGCCAAAATGGTCGATTCGCTGGTTTGTCAGCTCTGCGACGATAGATCCACACATTCATGACAAAAATGCATACTCCTAGAACTATGACTGACTATGAGGCTCCACGTAGTGGAGCCTCATAGTTCTAGGAGTAAAAAATGCACACTGTGTGTCAGTGACAGTCATTGACAGTGTGTAGTCGGAAAAATTCCGTACTGGATCACCACTTTTTTTCAATTAATTTTCAAGCGCCAAAAGTTACTCCTTTATGGTTATTCCCTCCACTTTCCGTCCTCTACTGTCACCCTCTCCTTTCCTTTATTCCAATTTATTAATCAGTCAGTTACTTCATCATGTTCATAGAGATTCGAACCTCGGACTTTTGCTTGAAACACGAGCTTCTAACCGCTAGGCCGTGCACGATCGCTGTTGCAATAATCAATCTTTGGACGTATTTGAAGTATCCATTGAAATAAACTAAAAATTCATGAGAAAATTCATGGTTGTCGATGGCATGCGTATAACGTACCACTGTCTTCCAGACACTTCAACCAGTTCTGACCGGCTGCTTCAACTCAGTTCTGCACGACTGTGCATCCAAAATGTGCTCTAAAACACATTTTTTTCCCGCATTTACAGAGCTTCCTGGATTCCTCTTAGGTGGAATCACAAGGTGAGGTGAAAATTGATGTGTTTGGCGGCAGGTAAAGTGGTGACCCAGTATGGACATTTTCCTGTGTAGTCAAAGTATGCCTATTCGGTGGAGCACTAGTATTACTACTAGTACGGTATTCTGAGTAACTTGGACCCAACTTATCGCCTTTTTAACATTCAGACTTAGCCTGGTGATAGTATAGTAGGGTCCAAGCTAATCCATATACCGAGCAATTTAACAAATTTGGTCCTTGACCCAAAAACCCAACATTGCCCAACAAAAACATCAGATTTCACCCTCAAAATGGCCTACAAATTACTAGATACGCCACCTGAGGTACAAGTAGACATCGATGATTAAGATGGTTTAACTGAAGTTTACTTACGATCCGGATGCAAAGTGAAATTTCCCGTTCAATTCTGAGAGTTCCCCTCGCGATCGTGAACACGTTAAATTTCCGACTCGTGTTAATGTTTGAACGATGCGATGTGGTCTTCATGTCCAGCGTACATTCGATGGTCCTCATATCCTGAGTGCAATTCCGTTACCGAGTGTGATGCATTGATAATGATAATGAAAAGACTGGATTATGTTTGTAAACACAAGTGCATTTCGAATGGCAAAAGGGAGGCGGGAACTAGCTTGAACTGGTTTCCGCCCATAAAAGCTGCCCTAGTTCCCGACTCCCTATTATCGTTCGAAATGTACTTGTGTTTATAAAAGTAATCCAGTCTACTCATTATCATAATTGATGTATCGCGCTCGGTAACGGAATCGCACTCAGGATATGATACAGGGACCATCGAATGTACGCTGGGCATGAAGACCACATCGCGTCGTTCAAAAATTAACGTCGGAAATTTAATGGAAATTAAGTCGGAAATTTAACATGTTCACGATTGCAAGGGGAGCTCTCGGAATTGAACAGAAAATTTCACTTTACATCCGGATCGTAAGTAAACTTCAGTACAACCATCTTAATCATCGATGTCTATTTGTACCTCAGGTGGCGTATCTAGTAATTTGTAGGCCATTTTGAGGGTGAAATCTGATGTTTTTGTTGGGCAATGTTGGGTTTTTGGGTCAAGGACAAAATTGTGTTGCTCGGCATATACGGATTAGCTTGGACCCTACTAATATCGCCAGACCATGGCCTACAATGTGCAATGGGATTGGGTTGAAATGCCATGTATCTTTATCCCAATTCAGATTTAAATCTTGGCTACGCAAAGAGGCAGATATGCAGAGGGCGGGCGCTAACGAGCACTCGCCTTTACTCCGGTATCGACTGGACAGCGCCAGTGATGACCATAATGTGGAGCGTGTGACAGAGACCAGCAGTGCGGATGTCCAGACCCGTGGGCATGCCCAACCCAAAAACCTGACCACGTTCTTTGGGGTGTTTGTACCATGTGTACTTTCTATGTTCAGCGTGATTTTGTTCTTACGAGTCGGTGAGTTAGCTCTACTAATGTTGTGCAAACCCAACCCAAAACTGAAACCGACCCGACCCGAAACCGACTTCCGGTCGGGTCGGTCTCGGTTTAGCATTTGCAAGTTTTGGGTCGGGTCGGTTAAGCCATTTTGGAAAAACCCGAAATAAACCGAAATTAACCGAAATGAACCGAAACAGAATGGAAATTCATGTGCAAATGTTTAGCCTCTACTGGCGTCAAAACGTAGACTGTTTCCCGTCCCCCTTCCTAAAAAATAAGGGGACCGGTAGCTAGCTCCCATTTAAAGCTATTAATTGGAGCTCTTCCCTGCAAGCGCAACATGATTGTTTATTTTTGAATCACTATTCAGCTTTATGCATGGATCAAACTCGAACACATGGCTTTAAAAAAACTGACTCTTGTCTTACCACAAAAAAGTACGCAAATTCGCCAGTGTCTCCATGAAGGCAACTTCATTTCAACTGCATACGTTTAGTTGCCAGAGACACTTTCACATTCAGCAAAAATCAAAGCTCATCATCTCCGAAATTGCACAATCGTTGCCTAGGCCAAAAAAAAAAATAGTTCTGCTTCCGATTACATGTCTTTCAAAAATAGGGTCGGTCGGTCGGAAATTTTTTTTTTTTTGCCATTTTTTTTATGTAGATTGAAGGGGGTATTCAATTCTATGCGAAGTTTTAGCCTGAACTATTTCTATTGCACTACGAAAGCTATACACGAAATGGCAACAAAAAGTGAATAAAACCTACCTTAATTATTGTCAATTTATTTAAGTTCGATAATTCGTAAAAGAAATTGTGGGAAATTCAGGTCGTTCGCACCATAGGCACAACGCTAGTCAAGAACGGGAGCTGGCCAAAACTCCGAAGTGTGTGATGCACTGTACATGTACATTTGTACATGTGTGGCCCGCGGCCAACGGGTCGAACATTTCAGGAAACACGCTGCATTGTATCACTCCAAATACGAGTAGTGCGATCTCAAAATGAACTCTTGAACACGGAAAATACATACACAGACAAGCTAGATCAAATCTGTGAATTAACTTGCAAAAATGTTCTTTCTCCATCGGTGTTTTCTTGGCATTTTTACGATGTCTTTCTCAGCATTTTTACGATGTCAATTTCGACCAGTTGACAGAGCACGTGCCTGCGCCTGCATAGCCATGCTAGCGCTAACATCGCATAGCCGTGCACAGACTAGTTACCGCATTTTCATAATTGGCTCCTGCGCGGCGCGGCGGGAACCAGTCGTCGCCGCATTGCGCTTATTACGCACGTGATTATAGACATCGAATTGCGAAGTAGTTGAATCGCGCAGCGAATTTGTAAAAATAACGGAGGTTTCTTTTGAAAAAATTGCGAATGTAAGTAAGAAAACAATAAATACAAGCATTTTTTGATGCAAAAGGGTTGTTGAGAGGTATTTTGTGAAGACAGACAAGACATAAGGTTTTTATTTTTATTTATTCAATCTTTTTTTTTTTTTTTTTTTTTTGAATTGCCGATAAAATTTTTAGGGTCGCAGCCTAAAAATAGGGTCGGTCTGGTAACCGGAAGCAGAACTATTCTTTTTTTTGGCCCTATTGCCATTTTGCAAAAGGCTGGTTGCGCGCAAACATTACCGTTATGATTATGGATTCTGGAGGCGGGATTCAGACCTATGCACGTCCTGCATAAAATTTGCATACAGGAAAGCCTCCTAATGTATTCAGGATTCACTGGTAGCTACCTGTCCCCATATTTGAAGTCCGAAGGACAATGGAGGGAAAGGAGGGGGTGACAAGTGCCCCCCCCCCCCCCCCCACTTTGTAAAGTGGGGATGTATCGTTTGTCCCCCCCCCCCTACTTGTTTTTGTCCCCGAAAAAAAATTGTAGTGTACATAATGATTCTATAGCTCAGAATAGCTGATTCAATGACTCCAGACTTGAAAATGATGTTTAAAAGATACATGTAATGTTTTGCTAAAAAAAGGTTTCATTGGTCAGAAATTGCCTCGGATCTTTCCACAGAGCGTCTACAATCCAAAATGTTTGGGGGCTCTTAAGCGGGCCCCAGACCCCACGCTTAGCACTCGCATTACTGCTGATCAAATTGTGTCCCCCCCCCTAACTTTTGAGAAGCGCTTGACGCCCTTGAGTACATGTAGGAGTACAACGATTGTTTCAAGGAGGGACAAACAAAACAATTACTGATCTGAGAAGTTGAGTGAAGATTGTTTATTGAGACGTAAGCTGTTGGAATTATTTACAAATTGTGTGCACTTGTGTGCACTTGAGTCCCACATCCAAGCAGTCAGCAATTGACCTATTGCCGTTTGCAAATTAGCCAAATTTTGTTTGTCTCAGATGTTATGCATTCCGCTTCCATTTTTATGTCATGTAATTGGACAATATTTCACAAGCTGCGTTGACGCCATTCTAACGCGATTCTACCGTGATAGGTCAATTATTCAGCGTCTTGTTGTTTTCATGCAGGTTACGCAGTGGGTGAGAGCGGACTGTTACAGACTCTCGTCATGTTTGCCTTGGGTTATTTCATTGTCATCCTGACTGTTTTCTCTGTCTGTGCCATCTCTACAAACGGAGCAATCGAAGGGGGCGGAGCCTACTGTATCCTTGAATAGTTACCATGTAAACCACCCCCCCCCCAAAAAAAAACCACACCAAGTCTGAACACAGACTCAAAATGAGGGGTAGTGGTGGGCCATTTTATGTGTGATCGTAGCCAGTGTGTTGATTGTCAGATCGACCTGTGATGTAGGGGTCAACCTTTGCATACCATTATGGTGATGCATTAACCCTAACAGAACTCAGCCCATCAAACCCCAACAGCATGTTTTGTTGGAATCTGTTGGGATGGGTACAGTACCCCTAAACTGACAGTTGTTTACATTGGGTTGGCACACCTCCAGAAACTAACTCAGAAATATGTGTGTGCGGTTTGCCATATGGTGTTGGAATTTGCCAGGATGGGTATGGTTCCTAGTAAATCATGCTAAGGAGTTAGTTCCCAGTAAATCATGCTAGGGAGTTAGGGTCAAGCAGTGCATACTATGTTCCCCAACCCTAACCCTAAGGATTTTGGGGAACATTGGGTATTATAGCCACGTTCCTTGAAATTGAGTTCTGCTGTGAGTAAGGGTGTTAAAGGAAGAAAATGGACGTGTAAGGCCAAAAAAAAAAGTCTCCGGTTTCTGGTATGGAGCTTGCCCCAAAAGTGGTGCGGCGACGCGGCATTTTTTTTTTTTTTTACCTGGTTTTTTTTTTTTTTGGCTTCAAATGTCGGCTGATGACTGCAAATGGTGCCCGACTAAACTTAGTGCAAATATATGGGAGTCCAGAGAGGCCACATAAAGCTTATTCTCGATCATAACCCCATCTAAAAACACGTTAAAATTGTGCAGCAGCAGGATTCCAGTCAAACCAGTGAGTTTGGCGGTTTTGAGACATCATCTTGTATTGAAAAAAAAAACTTTTTCATTTTGCCGAAGTGCATGGCTGCGGCGACGTGCGCGCATACCAGAAACCGGAGACTTTTTTTTTTGGCCTAACACGTCGCAACTCACAACGCGTTGTACGATCCATTTCACGAAACTTGCGATGTGTTGAACGCGTAGTAAGTTCCTTGACAAAAGCTTAAAACACGTCCCAAGTTACGACGTGTCTAGTGGTCATCACAAAATAAGAATAGTCTTTTTCGTAGCCAGTTATATGCCATAAACATTGCATACACAAGATTATCATACCGAGACAATGTGTGTTAAGTTGAAAATAGAAAATTCACTGAATGAATAAGCCTGGAATATTGCAGTTGAAATTTCGAAGTAGCTATACAGTCCACTGAGAGCTTGTTTCCTTTAATATTGCATCAAACGTCCGCCATTTTGTTTTACGTTTGAAAAAAAACTTTTGGAGAGGAGATCAGACTCTTTGTTGAATATCAGACAACTATTTACTGTACGCTGAATAAATACATAAAACGATCACCGAGTTGTGCTATAAATACACCTACGACACGTCGCACTTATGACGTGTTTTTGAAATAATTCGCAGGACGCATCGCAGCTGCAACGCATTGGAAGGATACGACATTTTCTCAATCATGCAACAAATTTTCCAATATTTCTGTAAATATATGTTTAGCAAAACATAACAGACATATCACACCATATAGTAACCAGATGTGAACACAACAAATCATTTTATTTTTAGTTTACAATGATATAACAGTTATTATCAATTGACATTATATTAGTAAGCAGACTTTTGACTCACTGTACCATTGTCCAGAAGCAATTGTTCATATTGTTTTGATTCCAAAGTCCACTATCTTGATCTTTGGAAGATCACACTGTCTGAAAAAAGCAAATAAACATAATGCATAACAGGAACCAGTCTGATTTCTTAATCTGTGTGCTCTAATGAAGATAACACAGGGGACAGGACTTACCTGAGTCAAATCGAAACAAAGTTCCTTGAAAACTAAGCATGATCTCCTGATTCAACAATTGGAGAGGACACACATGTCCCTTGAACAAAGACAGAATTCTTAGTGAATACTTTATTTGAATACAAGGTGAACGGTGTCTGGAACAATTTAGCTTGTGGCTGAAAGCTTTCAGCACACTACTACATTGTGTAAATTAATCCTTTTCAAGAAATGTAAAAGTGTATGGAAAATGTTTATAGTCATGTTTTATTTTATTTTGTTCCTTGGAATGTGTCAAAGCTCTGTGAAAGTAAATCTATTGTAAACTTGATAGCTAAGGATAGTAAGTTGTTAATAGCATTTGTACACTTTTACTAATTAGTTGTGGAACTTTCAAATTCTCAACGTAAATGTACATGTACATGTTTATGTACATCTGTGTGGAGACCTCCCAGTACTAGTATTCTTATTCTTTGTTATTTCTAACTTTAGTGTTTGTTCTTATTTTGTTTTAGGCACACACAAAAACATGTTACACAGGAAATTAAGGGTCATTGTAGTTTTTGACATTTCCTCTTTCATTTTGAAACTTATATTTTTGAATCTAAATTTCAAAAGAACTTTTTGTTTTGTTGTTCCTAATAATCTTTACAATTTCTTTTGGTCTGATAACATCATGGGAACGATCATGCCGAATCGTGCTAGAGAGCGCACGGAAATCCTTTAGCACACAATAGACTAATTTACTTAACATAAGTTTTAAATTGATAGACAAATTCAATCCCTGAATCTTCTGTCATTCAGCTATAGCTGAGACAAGTATTCTTTTAATACCAAGTACGTAAATAGGTTCACCAAACTTTGAAATTGAATGACATGACAATTTGGGTTTACTAAAAGCACATAGAATTCTTCTCGGACAATTTGAATATTTGACTTGGAGATGTGGAATTAAAAATAAAAACGTTTTAAAATAGCAGAGAAAATCTATAATAGTATGGAATACACTAAAATCTGGAAAACAAACATCATGAAATCCATATTCGTTGGTGAGAAATCAGTAAAGGAATTTCAACTACAGTTGTGCAGTAACTTTGCTGAGTGTATGTTGAAGAAACTACTCATGATTATGAACTGAATTCACATGGTGCACTGGGTGGGATTTGGACCAAGGCCACCAGGGGTGGAGGGTCATCTTGTGCATCGGGTCAGGTTGACTAGGCCAAGCCGACCCTAACACTATAGGTATAAACCGAATCAGAACTGAAACGGATCTGAACTTTCCTATCCAACCTGACAAAAATTCAAGCAAAAACTGACCCGAAACCGAACCGACCCGAAAACCCCCTGAATATCTGGCTTGGGCAACGTGTCTGCTTTTTGTGCCTAAACTTAGCCACATAGAATGAAAATTGTCGTCTCTCAGTAATCATACCATACAGTACGGTGAAGACTCATAGCGGTGGGCCTTCATAGACTGTTCGTGATAGACTGCAAACCACATGCCCATGCACATTCACGCGGTGGGTTGATGTTGGTCGTATCGGGCACAATAACTCTGCAATAATGTTGCACCGCATGAATTTGCGAACTGTTTCAGTTTACTTTTCACAAGTTATCTTAACCGAGCCGAGCCAACCCATAAATCGCAAAACCGAAACCAACCCGACCCGAAGTCGGTGTTTGGTTGGGTCGGTTTCGGTTTCGTGTCGGGTTTGCACAACATTAGAGGACGGCAGTGATTTCATCGGGACTTTTATTTTGGGAGTTGGACATAAAACATGGCAGCTTCAAACAAAGCTTAATGTGGGGGGGGGGACTTTTGTGTAAGGCTGGGAAGTTGTAGGCAGTGGGCATTGCATGTGGTGCTTGGGCACATTTCAAATAATGCAAAGCCAGTACACTACCGAAGTGTGCCAAGTAGTCTAGTTCACACGCAGAGTGTGGAGACAACGCTTGAACCAGAACAAACCAGCTGACTAATCGCAAACCAGTCTGACTAATCAGACTAATCTTTTCTTCCTTTTTTTAATGGCAGTAAATAATTTCGCTGTAAAAGAAATTTGTTGCGTGCAAGTCAAAATAAGAGAAAAAAGAGACTACAAGTACGGTCATTAGGCTGGGATAGTCAATGGTCATGAATGAAGAACTTTGGTACTTCTTACACCAATCTTATTTTTATTAATAACTTTTTAAAAATGATATTGTTTTAGAGAGTACAGAATCTTACTATAATTCCAGGAATCTGTGTATGTCAGTCTGTCTGTCTGTATGTCTGTATCTCCAGAACGGGCATTGTATAAAGTTGAAAATTAGCAGGTGTATTGCTCGGGACCCCAGAATGTGCAGTGTCAGGTTTGTAAGCTGTTTGGATCAACGTTTTCAAAATGCTGCAAAAAAGCAGCAATACCAAGGCCTAGACCATACAAACGTGTACAATGCACATGTACATATACATGTACATGTACATGTGCATGTATACAGACCGCGCCACGCACTGCTGCACACTTTCAACAGACACTGCACTAGACCATGACATGGGTACCGGTTAACACACCTGGAAATGGTGGTTGGCTGTATGGGCTCGACCATTTCTTGAAGAGGGAAGGTCACGTGACTGAACAGGTACTGCATTAGTTTGGGGGAAATTTGCACTTTGATTAAAAAAGTAATAAACTTAAATTCACGTAAAATGGTGATCCAAAGACTGTTGTACGTTGCAAGTTACAAATGTTTCAAAGTTGTCAAAAGAATCCTGAAGACCGTCAGAGCATACTGACTGGAATGTCGAGTTTATACCTCTGGTTCTTTTCAGAACCATTCTCTTAGTTGTGAAATTATTCGCACATGGTGTTTCCACAAACCTTTCATTATTTAGTATCTCCACCATGTAAAAGCCTCAAATCTTACAAAAGAATCCTGTCAATCTAATCCTTGAAATGAAGCATTCTTCATTGTGAACACTTATATGTCCCAATTCGTTATTTGGAAATTGTTTCTGGACCTTGTATTTTTTTTTCTTTGATGCTTTCATCACCAACTCTAGGTTGTTTCCCTTGACCATAAGTTTTCCCGCAGTTATGATCAGTCGAGCTTTGGGGCCAGAGTTTGGTGGTAGTATAGGCGTCATGTTCTTCATCGCCAATGTGTTTTCCTCTGCGTTGTACTGTATCGGCTTCGTGGAAGCAATCTCGGACAACTTCGGGACTGGAGGTATGAACTGTTATCCTGAGTTTAACAAGGCAGATATATTAGGCCAAGTAAATAATTAAACCAGTTTATCGTCTCAGTGCGAGCTTCCTTCCTGCCCACTGCTTGTAAGAGAGGCGAATGAAGTTGTGTGGGATTCTGTCCCCGTAGCTTCCACCTCTGCTGCCTTTTGCAACTTAATCTCCCCCCCCCCTCCCCCCGCCTCTGCCTTGCGGAACTGCCCTTACTAGGCATGTGACATTCTATTTAAAACTGTTGAATGATGTCGGTGTTGCTGCTTTTGCTACAGGATCTTTGCTAGTGGACCACCAAGCTGGACTCCCCATCAACGACTGGTGGCCCTTCCTCTACTCCTCCATTGTTCTCCTCTTCTGCCTCGTCGTCTGCCTCATCGGGGCCGGCATGTTCGCCCGGACCTCCTTCTTCATCTTCCTCATCGTCATGGCAACTCTCATCACGGTCTTTGTCAGTTTTTTCACCAAGAAGCCCGGCCCGATCAACTTCCCACACAACAATCATCTAAGTAACGGATCAGCCAACTACACTGGCTTCAGGTTGGATACACTGAAAAGCAACTTGTATGGTAGGTCAGAAATGGTCATCACTGCCATTTACAATCTCCACAAAATAATCCCTTGTGCCATCATTTATTCGTGTTTTTAATGCCAGTCAGTGATTGTCCAATTTAAAAAAAATAAAAATAAAGAAAGTGTCTAACTTCTTTCTTTATTTAAAATGCTGCGCTACTTCGAGTGATTTTTTAGTTTTTTGTATGTCTCTCTAATGCCATGTTTGTAAACCTTTATACTTAAATCCTTGTATGTTTTTTGCCTTTCGAATATCTTTAAATATTAATGTAAATCTGTGTTGTTTTTACTGTTTAATGAGCTGTCAACAAAATAATTTTCCTTTGTGGATAATGATAAATAATAATAATAACAAAAATATTGACATTTTCTAGGTTGGGGCGACAATTTTGTGTTATTATTGCTATAATAGGGCGACATACCTCCCCAATTCTTGAAACCGCAATTGATGAGAGCTAGGGCTAGGGTTAGGGTTAGGGCTGGGGATAGGGTAAATTTTTGTGCAGTCTGTGGAAGTATCGAACTGTTAGTAAAAATATTATAATAATGATATAATATTGGATGGCTTTGAGGTGGATACAAGAATATATTGCACGAGCTATGACAATATTGCACGAGTCGAAGACGAGTGCAATATTGTCATAGCAATATTCTCGTATCCACTGAAAACAAGCCACCCAATATTATTATTATTTATATCAGGCTAACTTGATCCACAAGAAGCACAATTCAAGACACTGTCTTCATTACATCTTTTTCGTTTACATCCAACGTTTTGAAGCTGCCACTGTAATTGTTGACAACAATGCGCGTATACCTGGCCTTCTGCGCGCGCTGCATGCGCGTGGTGTGTTCCGTGTTCGACGGTACGTGTGCGCTACGCTCTGTTGAGTGGTTGACAACTGTGACTTTCTATGCTCTTGATCAAGCGGGAACCAGCGAATATGCCCGGATGACTGCAATGATAATGTTATTGTAGTCATCCGGGAACTTTTTATGAAAGTGTACAATAGGCTGATTTATTTTTACCGCTGGAAGCCTGATATAAATAATAATAATAATGATTGTGTGTGAGCCAACAAGAAACTATAGCAGTGCGTTGCAGGAAACTTGTTGAAAATTCTGACCTGTTCATTCAATATTTTCTTTCAGGTGAACTGACGCCAGATTACACCACAGGGCTTGATGTCAATTTCCTGGTTGTCTTTGCTGTTTTGTTCAATGGTTGCACAGGCATCATGGCAGGAGCTAATATGTCAGGTAATCGTTTTGTCGATTTAACAGCCAATCATATTTCCCGTCACCGAAAGCGCAACTTTTCTAATTGAAACTGTTGAAATCAACAGTTGATCAACATTGACAGGTTTGAAATTTCGTAGACCTAACACAGGTTGAAAAAAAAAATCAATTTTCCACTTTTACATCTACACCACTTTGTGAGCTGATATTGCACCTGTATTAGTGTAGGAGATATTTAAAAAAAAATATTACACGAAGAGGCGTTTGGAGTAGAAGTTGGCAACATAGCTATTTTTACCTAATTTTGGGGTGCTGAATTACACAAACTTGCATGGGGCGTGGCCAGACCGATCGGGGTTCCTTGGACAAGCGGTGTAGCGTGAAATTAGGTTTTTATGAAATACGGACTCATTGAGTGTTTAATTGTTGGTGTAGACAGTGTTGGTTCGAAGCAGATGCAGTAGATAGGTTAGTTATAGAGAACGGGAACTGGGTCCAGAAATTTTGGAATTGCCCAAACCTGGTGTGCACTGGGCTTTAGGGAGAAGTTATAGCGCCCATCACAGTTGATTAAATTTCTTGTATAATCAGTCTGTCATCATTTTCAGGTGAACTGAAGAATCCTGGCAAGGCCATCCCCCTGGGTACTCTTGGGGCGTGTCTCTTCACTGGTCTGATATACGCCATCGTGTCATTCCTCGTCAGCGCAACCTGCTCACAGTAAGTACATAGTGACATCTACCAAAGCTCAGTAACGGGCTCCGTGCACAAGTACCCCCTCAATGGTGGTTAAAGGAGGGTTGGGGGAGACCACTGGGAAGCACATTTGAACGCATTCTTAACAATGTCTAAGAGCTGGGTGAGTCAAAAAGAAAGTGACTGAATTAGAAAAAAAAAATTTTTCAAAATTTATGACTCGCTCAATTTTATCCAAATAACATACATGGGCATCGCCAGGATTTTTCTAGGGGGGGGGGGGGGGGGGGGCTAAAGCACATTTCCCCCCAAATCCTTGCACTTTCTCTAGCATGTTCTCAATTTATCATTTTGTGACAGTGGGCAGGGTGACATTTGCCCACCCTATCCCCCATTGGCAGACCTGCGGAGGCCCATTTTTGTTAAATGTGTATTAAATTAAAGGGAAAATACAACATTTGCAAACATCAAAAAATAAAACTACCAAATCATTTTGAAATACCTTGCTGGACTGTTAGTGAATGACAGTGTAAAGCATCCTGTAAAATCATGGCACCTGGTATACTGTCATTTTCAAGAAAAGTGGTATTTTTGTATCAATTTCCAACGCTGATCGGCCGATCAGCGTTGGAAAAACTGGCTTTTTTTTCAAATACTGGCCCCAGTTGACCATCGCACTTGTTTGCAATCGATTACACACCTATGAACGTGTACAAGCCAGCTAGACTGGTTCCTTGACCTTACAATATCCCAATGTATATAAACTGCTCTGTTTCTTCTTGAATGGAGTCAGGGAACCAGACTACAGGAAAACGATTGTTTTTCTTGGTTTTTAAAGCATTTTCGAACCCAAAACCTCAAAAAAGTCAGTGTAACTATATTTGCTATATATTTCCAACCCCCCAATTCCATCCATTTCTGAAAATTACAGCAAAAGCAAATGATGTATATTCCCTTTAAAAGCAAATATGACCTAACACCTCTTTCTTTCCTTTTTTTTGTTCTCCATTTTTGTGGTTTTTTTTGGCTTGCTTTTTTTGGGGGGGGGGTCAAGCAAGCTCCCCCCTTCTGCCCCCTCGCGCTACCCATGATATGCATAAAGTACATGCTATTGCCTAGTAACTATGAACGTTTCATGTACTTTGCCTAGTCTATTCCCATGTTATTTCTATTTTAGTAATAAATCACTAAATTCAGCTGTCCACTACTGATCATTTACCGTTCTACGAACTGATGAATACCTATTAAATACAATGAAACATGGATGTTTTCCCACCTGGATGAATGAACGAAAACTAGCTTGCATAAGAAAACACACAAAATCGCCATCAATATTTCAGGGGAAAAAAGAGTTGACTTGTTCCTCATCGTCAAAGCTCAAAATCTGACTGTAAAAATAATGTTTCAGTCCTGACACAAATGATTTAAATCTCATTTGTATTTGAATGCGCGTGTGTACTATGTAATTTTCACTCAGCTGAAAAGCTTCCAATGGCATTCTGTGGACAGCTATAGAAACAGTGGACATCTATAAAAGTGGGTTCTTTTTAATAGTAAAACATGCATAACTTCGGGTAGCATGGATCAATTTCAGTAATTGGTATTTTTATATTAATGGAAGAAAATGCTCTTTTGAGACATACATCATTGGTGTATCAAATTTGATTGCTTTTTGAGGGGGAAACAAAATCATTAATCCAGGTCACCTTATTTTTGACTCACTCTGTAGAGAGCTACATGTAACCATGGATCCTCTACACAAGGCTAAATGACTTCCCCAAATTTCTGGTTAGAGGCGTGATATACAGCGTGTGTCAATAAAAACGCAGGATTAGAAACAAAAATATTAAGAATATAAACCACCCCTATTCATCATAATGTTAACGCTCTTTTCAAAGTACCTTTCCTTCTCTTCACTATGCTTTTTATCCCATCTCATTTGGACAATCCTGTCCAGAGATAGAGTACATTGAAGAAGGGTTATAAATTCCAAGCTGGTCTGATTTGTAAAATCACACATACCTAATGAAAGGTTTGAATTCAGTACAGGTGAAAGTATTTGTGGATCACAAAGAAGGACATGTGTGGCAGGATTAGGCTTACATAATCCTTTAGTCCACAATCAATGTTATTAGTCAATAATTCATGATGCTTTGAAACAATGATAGTCTAGTTATTAAATTTAAGTGATACTTATCATCAGTTGTTTCAAAGAAAGTTTTGTTCTGGTTTAATTGTCTTCAATGCATACCTGCATTGTACATAACTGGTGGTTGTGTTAAGGTCATTGAATCAGACCAATCCGCTTCAGAAGGGCTTCACAAAACTTGTCATAACTTTTGAACCAAAAGTCCAAATTCCACCAAACAAAAATCTTGTCAAAGATGAAATTATGGACAATCAAATCCTCATCAAATTAGGCACACCAGTTGCATAATTTTCTCAGAAAAAAAAATCGCTTTGAATCCTGCGTTTTTATTGACACACGCTGTAGCACTTGCGTGTCGTGCGTGAGACTTGGCGTGCGACTGCAGTCTTTCAGTGGTCAAATTTCTGTCAGGACGCCAGCTGTGGGGGTTAATGGTGCGCTTGCATTGTTATACACGCTCTATGCGTTGTTCTATGCGTGGACGCAGCATTTCACGCCCCTAGACAAACCGTTCTGTACCTTTTGTACACAAGCTCAGATGAGTCCTTTATCCTTGTGTAGAGGATCTGTGATGTAACTCACTTTGCATAATGCAACTTGCATGGCACATCCATGTTTGTGCATAATCCTAGGGAAAGCTTGAAATTAAGGCTTTCATGCTGCTTTTTGCATATGCATTTATATTTGAAACCCAAATCATAATGCACAGTCAGTAAATGAATATTTCATTTCACTCAGTGCAAACAACATGAGAATGTGCGCTCCAATTTTTTCCATTCATTCTTACGCAACTGTACCTATGCAACATTCGAGCTTGACAGCGATATTTCACTCCATCTAATTTCCTTATATTCCACAGGCATGTACATGTACATTCATTCAAAGTAAAATATATTAATATCATACGAGATCATTTCCAAATTATTTCAGAATTTTAAGATTTGACGATTATACTTCATTCTTTCATTGTGCTATTTCAGAGATTTGCTGTTGAATAACTACGGCTTTCTTCAACAAATCAACATCTTCCCCCCTGGGGTGGTGGTAGGAATTCTGGTCGTGTCCCTCTCCGCTGCTCTGACCACCCTCATAGGGGCATCCAGGGTCTTACATGCCATAGCAAAAGACGGCGTCTTTGGTAAAGCTTAAATCTCTTCTCCAAAGGCTAAATAAGATGTAGAGTTGGTCCCATTTTCAGAGACTGAGTTTTTTTCCGATTAAACTTATTGTGTGCTGTTTGTATGAACACTGTACAGGAATTATGTAGGAAGTGCTGTGTGGCCCACTTATGAGAGCCAACAAAAATGTTATTGGTAAATGACAAAGTACCATGTTAACAGGGAAAGAAAAAAAATCACACTTTGGGTGTTAAATTAATAGAAATGACCCATCTACATAGAAGAACATCCAGAGAAACACACTTAACTTTTTGTAGGACTAAACTAGAGTTGTCTTCATTTCAGTTTCCATTTTTTTTCTCAGTGCAACTTCTCTTCTCTTAAAGACAATCAGAGCTCACTGTTTTAAACCTTGATCTTCCCCAAAACCACACATACAGCTCAAAAAGATCTACACATGTGCATCTACACAGCTGAACTCTTTGTCAGTGTGTGTTTTTGTTTTGTTTTTAGGGATGATTCTTTTGCCAGTGCACAAGGGAGTGACAGCTGGTGGTAATCCCATTGTGGCAGTGCTGGTGTCCTGGTTGCTAGTCCAGGTAAGACTTAGTCTTAGGTCAAAACAGTGTGAGTCAAAAAGAAAGTGACCTGGATCAATGTTTTTTTTTTCCTCAACCTTGACCCTCCAGGGTATGTTGGCCAGAAACCCTGCCAAATGCAGCAACATGCAACATTTGTCTAAATGACAAGCCTGCTCATTGTAGCAAGATCCATCAGGTCAAAGGTCTCAAGGCCAAACTGCCTCAGAGTCTGTGGTCACTGAATGCAGCAGGATACAACTGTGGCATTGTTCAATGGGACTAGCTCTCATTGTCTCAGAATTGGCTGTTTATGCACTGGTGTCGATAGCTGAATGCAGTACTGGTGTCCTGCACCAGACTTTTCCACTTGATGCACTGTGCTGCGTCTTGCAGGCAGAGTTGTAATGACTCGAGTCACGGACTCGAGTCACATATTTTGGTGACTCGACTCGACTCGAGTCCCTAAGGGTAAATGACTCGACTCGAGTCACTGCGAGCAATTGACTCGACTCGACTCGAGTCCCTCATCAGAAGACCCGACTCGACTCGAGCGAAGGCTAATAAGACTCGAGTCCCCCCCCCCCCCAAAAGCAAAACTTTGCGAAAAGTATTTGCAATGACGTACGGTGCAAAAGTTATGCTCACTTCGCTTTGCGAATAGCAGTCACGTATAAATATACCTGTCACAGACTCCCACCTCATGGTTCTAGAAAGCACAAAATACTATCCAGGAACCAGATTTTTAAACACATTTTCTAATTCGCTGTTTCATCATTGGCTTTGGGCGATTTCTTATAAAGCTCTTGGATTCGAACGCTTGTTAAACTTATTGGCCTCCTTTTATAAATGTTGGTATATAGTGTTCAAATATTCGTGACTTGAATTGACTCGAGCTAAATATTTGACTCAACTCGACCTTTTGACCTAATGACTTGACTCGACTTGAGTCACTTCTTTAAAATGACTCGACTCGACTTGAGTCACAAAAATTAGTGACTCGTTACAACTCTGCTGGCAGGGTTAGGGTTAAAAAGCAATCAAGTTTGATTCACCAAAAAAGTATGTCTTAAAAGAGCATGTTCTTGCACTCATCTGAAACAAAAATTACTGAAATTGATCCCTGCTATAGGGAGTTATGCATGTTTTACTAAAAGAACCTCCTGTCCATGGAATGCCATTGGAAGCTAATGAGCTGAGTGAGAATAACAGATTAAACCCAAGCATTCATATACATGTACCAATGAGATATTAATCATTTGAGTCAAGACTGAAACATTGTTTCACTGTCAGATGTTGTGTTTTGAATGTGAGGAACAAGTCAATTCTTTTTCGGAAACATTGAGGGCGATTTTTGTCTGTTTTCCTTTGCAAGTTTTTGTTCATTCATGGAGGTGGGCAACCATAACGTCCTGTTGTTTTTTGTTTCATTGTATTTAATGGGTATTGATCAGTTCATAGAAGGGAAAATGATAATTGGTGGACAAATGAATTTTGTACTGAATACCCTTGAAAATGGCCAACCAAACATTGAAAATAGGTATAAATGGGACACAAAGGTGCATTTTGAAGGGTAGCATTAGAAAATAATACTAAAATAATCGCATGGGTCCATTAAGGTTGCAGACATCCAAGGGGGGGGGGGTGTTTGAATAAAACATACAAGTTGAACATTTATTAATAGAAAAAAAAAACACTTTTTTTTTACAGAGGACAGGGAATGCAACTTGAAGTAAATCAAATTAGGTTTTGCCCTTCACCGACGTACAAACACTGTATACAGTGTTTGTACGTGGGTGAAGGGCAAAACCTAATTTGATTTACATCACCCCGACGCAAAATTCCATCTTATGAACTTGATGTAATGTTAACATTTGCAAATAATTATTCCACCACTTTCAGCACATTTGCTCCTGTTTTTCCTAGCTTGTTCTGCTGATGAGATCGCTGAATGCTATTGCTCCACTGGTCACAATTTTCTTCTTGCTGTCCTACGCTGCCACAAACCTGGCTTGTATGGCCATGGATGTCGCTTCAGCTCCAAATTTTCGGTAGGTATTTCCCTGAAATCAAAGAAAAATAGTAAATCTTGTTACAGCCATGTTAAATATACAGGGTGTATAAAAAAACCCGAAACCGAGATATTATTGCTAATTGGAACAGAAGTAGGGCCCATGTGAATCAAAGGGAGATATCCTCTGTTAGGGTTGAATCTCCTCTTTAAAATGACACCCTGGTCATGTCCTTACACTCACGGTTGACTGAGCAGTGACCAATTTTATGAAAGGGTCTATTTAGAGACTTGTGCCACTTTTCATAGTGAAATATCTTTTTTTTTCCCACCTGCCTTGATTGGCAACCATAGCCTTTCACTCTGTGACAATTGACACCACAAAAACCACAATTGGTTTTTTTTTATCCACCCTGTATATATATTTGTTAATGTAATCCTTGAAATGTACCATTGTGTACCATTTAAAGGCAGAGTTCATCATTTGCAGCTATCAAAAAAGTAACTGACAAAATTATTGTTGAAAATCTTACTTGGTTTGAAAGGTAGTAATGGCACTAAACTCCCTGTGAAGTTATTCCTTCTGGCATGTTAATATTTTGAAGGCCATTTCCAACAATACCTCTAATTCGGCTGAATGAGAATGTGTCCCAGACGCTGATTTCGGGCGCAAATCAAAACATGACTCTGCAACTTTTGAATTGAAATGGAGATCCTAGAATATTGTTTTCTTGGAATATACAGCATTCACTGAGCTAAAACTTCATTAGGTTAGTTGTTCACCACCCTTCTTTAGATTTTGAGCACTTTTGTTGCTTCAGATGAGGAAAAATGCACAAATGACAAATGATGTACTCCACCTCTAACTTTATTTATAATTTTTTCATTTTTCCATTTCAACGGTCATATTTGGGTGCATTTTTGGTTTTTATGCGAATGCAAGTTTCCATATTTATACGCAAAGCTGTGATGTCATTCAAGGCAGAACTTCCGTGTTACATGCGATTAATAAGCATAAAAAGTCACTAGAATTCGGGGGGTTTGCTGTGGTTACTTTTCTGTTGTAGGTGATTCATTTTTGTATCAGAACATGACAGTAAGACAATGAGAAATCTTTTTCCACAAAAGTTTTCAATGAGCATAATATTTTGTGTTTCAATTTGAAGAGTTTGAAAACACTATAATCCGAAGACGCTGTTCCTCAAGTGTTATCTCAGCAACAGCGCCCTCAATGTCAGGAAAAGCAGGAAACATTTTATAAAAATTTAAAAGTCCATTCCACAAAAAATTCTAACCAAAAAGGCATGTCTCATAATTTGTATAAATTCCAGAGGAATAGATGTTCGAAACAAATATGCTGTGAGTGTAAAACTCATTTCATGGACCCTTAAGCATTTGTTGTTTAGAGAAAATTAGAAACCGTTAGCAAGGTATACCTTAGATGTGACGGTTTCAAGCCTGTTTCCTTCCATTTTCTTTCTTCCTCTGAATGTGATTATCATGTAGGCCGTCCTTCCGATATTTCTCCTGGCACACCTCCCTGCTTGGCATCATCTGCTGCCTGGTCATGATGTTCCTGGTCAATCCCATGTGGGGAGCCATCAGCATTGTGGTCTTCATTGTGCTCTTCCTCATCAACTCCTTCCGTATCAGTGAGTCTGAGTGGGGCTACATCACCCAGGCGCTCATATTCCACCAGGTTTGTGGCATTGGTGTAGTTGAGTACACTTCCAGGAGTATGAGTATGAGTACTTTGCCATGAGTACAAGTACGAGTACAAGTATGAGCAACCTCGTCCCCAGTGCTTACTTTATTTCCAACCGCGTTTCCAATAGTAAACCCTGGATAGGAAACTTTCTTCCTGTATCCTGATTGGATACCGCAATTGGCTAGTAATGGATTTTTATCGTGTACTTGGTGCTATATATTCACAACGTGCAGCACATGTTTTCGCGATCATTCGTCCACGCCTTCTCGAAAATACGAATTTCCTTTCCCAAGTTGCTCATATTAATATGAAATATGATACTGCATGTTGTCTCGATAAGATCGTAACAGTTTGATTTCAAAAATCGTGTTTTCGAAACTCACGCCGTGCTCGCGCTGCGACGAATTGACTCTTGTTTTTACCCCAGACACCGCATACAAAAACAAACGCTAATATGTAACGCATATCCAGGCACCAGACTGTTCCTCATTTGCATAGTGTGCAAAAATCTTGCACATGCAAATGATCCAATACCAGGGTGAGAGAGCAGGTAGTGGTGGGCGCGTACTGCTCGACACCCTGGGGACGAGGTTGAAGTATGAGTACTTTGCCTTGAGTTTGAGTACTTGAGCCATGAGTACAACTATGCGTAAGATTACTTTACCATGAGTACGAGTACCAAACCATGAGAACAGGTATGAATACCAAAAATGTACTGCATGACGAGTACAAGGACGAGTACTTCCCACTAGTAGGAGGACATTTCAATGTGTCACATACTTTCAGGGGTAGAGCATATCATTTGCAGCTATCCAAAAAGTAACTGGCAAAATTATTGTTGACATGCATACTTCGTTTAAAGATAGTAATGGCATTAAACTCCCTGTGAAATTATTCTTTTTGGCATGCTGTCATTTGAAAGAAACCAATAAGAGGATAAAAAGCATTTTTGAAAACATCCGTTAGTTTCTTATTGGGCGATCCTGCGAGTGGTGCACGCAAGCATTGTCATGGCGCACACACGCGTGCAGTTGCTATAATTCATCGGTTCAGTGCCTGACATCGCGCAACTATCAGCTGAACGAGAACATGTCTTGGACGCTGAATTCAAAACATGACTTGGCAACTTTTGAATTGAAATCGAGATCCTAGAATATTGTTTTCTCGGAATATTCAGCATTCACTGAGCTGAAACTTCATCATATTAGTTGTTAATCACCCTTCTTTAGATTTTGAGCACTTTTGTTGCTTCAAACGAAAAAAAAAATGCACAAATGACAAATGATGGACTATACATTTAAACAAATGCAGAAGCCTCCCATACAGTTGAAAACTCGAAAACAGCACAAAACTTTTCCTGCATATAGCTCTTAAAATTGTTATAATTCTTGCGCGACAAAATTTGCAAGAGTACAAGTACATTTACTTTGTCATGGGCACAAGCACAATTAGGCATATGGGTAATTCCTTTCTTGTGACTATGTATGAGTGCAGGTACATTTTCATGAGTTCAAGTATGAGTACAAGTAGTACAGCACAGGGCCCAATTTCACGGCGCTGCTTAGCATGAAAATTTGCTTAGCACAAAAATAGTTTGGCTTATAAAGCAGTAACCAGCCAAAACTCCACGTGATGTATATTGCTCGTGATCAGTATTCAGCTGTTGTTTGCTTAGCATGAAAATCACATGGAGTTTTGGCTGGTAACCTGCTTTATAAGCCAGACTATTTTTGTGCTAAGCAAATTTTTGTGCTAAGCAGTGCCGTGAAATTGGCCCCTGATTTCTGGGTTGGTTTGGGTTAGCTCAAGTTGTGTAAAATCATGACGAGTGGCAGATCCGTTGCAAACCTCGAATGTGGATACCAGAGTAGTAGAATAGTACTAGCCTTGTTATTGATTTTGTTTGTTTGAAGGTGCGTAAGTATCTTCTGCGTTTGGACGCAAGGAAGGACCACGTCAAATTCTGGCGTCCTCAGATGCTTCTCCTGGTGGCCAATCCTCGCTCATGCTGTGAATTGATTCGCTTTGTCAACGACATGAAGAAAAGTGGGCTGTACATCCTTGGTCACGTTAAAAAAGGTAAGTACACCAAGAGTCGTTGATCTGGGATAATTGGTATAATTTATCTGCAATAAGGGGAGTGTGGCCTAGTGGTAAGGTACGTGACTCATGATCAGAGGGGCAGGGGTTCAAATCCAGCCGCTGGCCGTATGTTGTGTCCTTGGGCAAGCCACTTTATCCCTACTTGCCACTCTCCACCCAGGATTAATTTCCATAAACTGCCCTGATCAGAATAATTTAGTTGTGTCATTAAATCTAGAATAACTTGGCTTTTTTAAGGTTATACACCGGTACCTGTTTAGGTCATGCATTGAGCTCATTGTCCCATTATAGCACTGATTTCATAATGAATCTCTGTGGAAATATTACAAATCTTAAGTCTTACTATTCGAAGAAGATTCAAAGAATTTCCCTTCCTCAATCTTGTAGTACAGATTTTATTGGAAAAAGGATGGCAAAAATTAAGTAGCTAGTGTTCTCCAGCTTAATGCATTTCTCCATTAACCCTAACTCTCCAGGGTATGGGCTAGAAACGCTGCCAAACGCAGCAACATGCAACATTTGTCTAAGTGAGAAGCCTGCCCAGTGCAGCAAGATCCATCAAGTCAATAGTCTCAAGGCCAAACTGCCTCAGAGTCTGTTGTAGCCGAAAGCAGCAGGATACAACTGTGGCATTGTTCAATGGGACTAGCTCTCAGTGTCTCAGAAGTGGCCGGTTTATGCACTGGTGTTGGTAGCTGAATGCACCAAAGGGCACCAGACTTTCCCACCGGACGCACTGTGTTGTGGCTGGCGAGGTTAGGGTTAACCAAACTGACATATTGATTTTTAACATGCTCCTTAGGAAACCTTGATGAGTCGTATGCAGATCCTGTGCAGAAAGAGTACCCGGCCTGGATTGTCCTGGTGGAAAAACTCAAAGTCAAAGCCTTCACTGAGCTGACGTTGGCGTCCACCATACGAGAGGGAGTCCAGCATCTCATTAGGATATCGGGACTCGGAGGTAAGTATTAATGGCTTTTTTATCCCCTTGGCTTTCAAGCCAGACAGGGGGATATTGCGATATTGTGTGTGTGCTCCATTTCACTGTAAAGTTCAGTCATCAATCTCAACCAAACTTGAAAGGAGGTCTGTGGAGAGAAGGCCGACGTCAAAAGAATCCTTTCCAATGTGGATATTTATGAGGTCTCTGGAGAGATATCAATGATTCTAACATATGTTAGTCCGGTGTCTCACCGAAAGTCTCCATTCAACCCAAACTCCCCATTCAACTGAGAACTGATACCCGTAACTGCCTGTACATGTACATGTATACAAACTGCCAGGATGCCAGGGGGATCGCGGAAGTTTTACTTGCAGTATTTTTTTTCAATAGAGGCACAATCAGAAAAATAAGACAATTTTTATATTTCTCAAGGATCTTAGAGTTCTTTTTCCTGCATAAAATTTTATTGTTTTTCCCCAAAATTTATATACCAAAGCTGTCTTTGTTCTGCAGTCTTTGATTCAAGTTCTCACTAAGTCTCCTGGATGTTTTTTTTCTTTTTTTCAAAAGGGATGAAACCAAACACAGTTATCCTTGGTTTCCATGACAACGCCCCCTCCAAAGACTCCTTCGAGAAATGCCGTGTGTGGGGTCAAAGCCCTTCCTTCGGGATAACCGAGGATTCTGGGATTGATGAGGAAAGTGGACTGCTCATGAATGCGTTTGATCCGGTGCGGCCGTCCAACAGCGCAAACCGTCTGAGCGTGGAGGAATACGTCATGATCATCAACGACAGTATCCGGCTTAGGAAGAACGTCTGCCTGACCCGCCACTTCAGCAAGTTTGACCGTGATGCCCTCGCAGCGAGCAAGGAGCCTGGTTTTGTAGATGTCTGGCCCATCAACTTCTTCAAGCCGGAGACAAGCGGTTACCTAGACACAGCCTGCATCTTCCTCCTGCAGCTGGCCTGTGTGCTCCACATGGTGCGTGTCTGGCGTAAGCACACCCTCCTCCGTGTCTTCCTGTGCACCAGTGAGGACGAGGAGCCTGCTGTGGTCCAGCATCGACGAGAGAAGCTGGAGGGTTTCTTGAACGACGTCCGCATCAAGGCCCAGATCGTTACAGTAGGCAAGCAGAACGTCAACCGGCTAGCTGTCATGAGGGAGGACTCCGTGCCGAGTACCGACCACGGTCATGCAAGGCTGGTCTACTCCCAGGTATCCAGCAGCTACATACAAGGAGTCAACGACATGATCAAGGAGCAGTCTACCAAGACAGTAGTCACCTTTTGCTATCTTCCTCTGCCACCAACAGATAGTTCACAGCAGCCTGATTACATTAGGCATCTTGATGCACTTACCGCAGACCTACCCCCAACTGTGCTTGTTCATGGGATACAAGAAGTGGCCTGCACAGCTCTATAAACGATCACATGTAGTGCCTCTTTGTTTTAAATCCTCATAGTAACTGATAAAGTAGATTTTTGCCTGTGTAGAAGATCTCATTAAAGGGAAAATACAACATTTGCAAACATCAAAAAATAAAACTACCAAATCATTTTGAAATACCTTGCTGGACTGTTAGTGAATGACAGTGTAAAGCATCCTGTAAAATCATGGCACCTGGTATACTGTCATTTTCAAGAAAAGTGGTATTTTTGTATCAATTTCCAACGCTGGTCGGCCGACCAGCGTTGGAAAAAACTGGCTTTTTTTTCAAATATTGGCCCCAGTTGACCATCGCACTTGTTTGCAATGGATTACACACTTATAAACGAAAACAAGCCAGCTAGACTGGTTCCCTGACCTTACAGTTCCCCAATGTATGTAAATTGCTCTGTTTCTTCTTAAATGGAGTCAGGGAACCAGACTACAGGAAAATGATTGTTTTTCTTGGTTTTTATAGCATTTTCGAAACCAAAAGCTCAAAAAAAGTCAGTGTAACTATATTTGCTATATATTTCCAACCCCCCAATTCCATCCATTTCTGAAAATTACAGCAAAAGCAAATGATGTATATTCCCTTTATTAGATCGGAACATCAGGCCACCCGAAATTTTTTTGATTTCATATTTGTTTATTTCTGGTCAATCCAGTCAGAAAGCAGTTTGCAGCAGTTTTATTTATTTTCAAAGTGGATTTCTAAGTCTTTCAGGGCCTCTATAATGCTTACATCAGATGGCAGGCCCAGTGAAGCGGCTGCATAGGTAGAGAGCACTTCCAACAAGACCAGTCCAAAAAGTCTTTGGAATTTTGGCACTGGGATGTTAGAAATTTCAAGCGCACTTATAGGCTTTATTCAGGAGTCAGCCATATTAAATTGAAAGCAGCGTAAAATCTTCGTTTTTGGAAGTTGCGTATAGAAATGAGAGTAATGAAATAAAGTTAATTACAAATTAATACCAGTATGCTCTGATGAATAATTTAAAATTTGTAAATAAATTATACGCTAATGTTTTAAGCCACATTTAAAAAAAAATGTAAAGTGAGGCTTGGAACGCATAAATAGTCTGGCACCATGCCATTCAACAGTTTACAATTTACCCATACGCACTTTTGTCGCACTGACTATTTTTCGCGGCAATGTCGCAAAGGTGCATTTGTGAACAAATATACGCTGTGTTGCGCGATTTGCGAAATGTGGCAATTTCCTCTCATATATATTCTTTCGATGTCTTTGTCATCTTTGTTAGATGTGTCGTACAATTCACGATATTTCTGCACCTCTGTAATTATTTTTGCATCTATTTTGTACAACCAATTAGTTAAAGCACTTGTGAAATACGTACATGTATGCAATGTTTTTTGTCGCGCGATAATATCAATTTGATATCATTGAGTGTGTAAAACGTGACATGGCGCAACAAAATCCTGTAGTGCCAAAGTTTCATAGACTGGCTTGACTTCATCTTGTTTAGCTCTGTGTATCTGCAGTGGCTTTCATGCTCTTGCGAGTAACAGGTGTAGTGGGGGAACACTTTTGGACCTAATAAGCCATTTGCGAGTAACCTATACCCTTTGGAATTTACATTTCAATAACATCTGGTACACTGACTTGCTCAGAATGCTTGGCACATTTTAACTTTGAATTCTCCAGACCAAAGACACTGTTACTAATCACATGATTCGGGGCAAGCTCTTGCATAGTTACGTAAGAGACGCTCAGCATCAATACATCGCTCACAATGGGTGAGAATGGCACAAAGACCCCAGACCATTCCGGAGTTGGGGGTTGCTAGCATAAGGCTTGCCCCGAATCACGTGATGTAGTAACAGTCTCTTTGGTCGGGAGAATGCAAAGTTAAAATGTGCAAAGCATTGGATTAAGTCAGCGTTCCAGATTTTATTCAAATTTAACTTGCAAATGGCTTATTCAGGGTTCCTAACTGGTTAACCTGAAAAGTCCTAGAATTTGTTTAATCTTTGTCTAAGTACTCCAACGCCAAACAACCTTCACCGCGAACAAAGTATTTCCTTCAGTTCCTGTATGGAAAATACACTATCGCAGGGTGTTCCTAATGCATTTTCTCATGCTTGCGTTACAGAAAACGAAGATGGATGTATGATGGCGTTTGCCAAATAGAAAAATTAAGGAAAATGTTAACCATCTAATTATTTTCACATAACGTCAGATATTTATATGTTTTAAGTTTATAAATTTACATTTTGACACTCATTTGTAGAACATTTTGTATACACTACCTTACAAGCTAAGGTTTGATATCTGTAAAAAAAATTGTGTAGAGGCTGAACACATTGTCATCTACATGTAGGAGAACGTGTACTTGAAATCTGGGGTCCAATTTTGTTGTGTGTCTAAGGATGCACTTTATCACATTACAACAATAGTATTGTTGTATCATGGTATTATTTTTGATATTTGTTCTGAGTTTGTGGGAAGTAATAAACAGGGATGTACGTGTACATGTTAGTCCTTCGTAATAAGCCAGTTTGGTATTTTAACTGTGCCTGTGCACATTGGTATACATTGGTATCACATAGGATGCTTGTGAATTGTTTTCGTTTTGCTGAAAGAACGCACACCTTTTTTGTGATTCATGGACAGAACTTTAAAACGGTGGTTATGCATAAAATTACGTAACTGGAAAAGTACTTGAGTGATTTGAATGATTCTTGTACTGAAAGAAAGTTTATGAATTGGGCTTTCATTTCCTAGATTTTGAAAGTGCTACATGGAGAACTTCATTAAAACAATAGTCCCGAAATTTTGGTTTCGTTTATTTTACTCACCCTGTACATAATGTTTGCAACGAAACATTCCAAAGGAGTATCTTGCATCTACAGAAATCCAAAAGTCGAATCAGTTAAACTTAACTATGACACCAAACTCATTTGAAGTGTCTAGCGGCTGAGCTGTGCAGTCCAGTGCCACAGCTATACTATAAAGAGACTTTCCTGTGTACATGTAATCCTCTATAACTCAGGACTTAACAAAAACTTACTTATTAATTTAACAATTAACACAAGAGCCTGAGTCCGCTCTGGTATTTGTGTGTGTGTATAAACCTTATGGGAATGTCAAAAAAGGTAAAAAGGGAACTACATTTGTGTGTCCTCGGTAGTTTAGCAAACCAGTCTGAGTAAGCATTGCATACACTGTGTGGACTTGTAAACAAAAGATGTCCACACAGTGTATGGTAAAGGATAATTATGCGGACTTATGCAGGTCCACACAGTACGCATTGCACTTTATGAAAACAGGTCTGGAGGCATTTGGGGTTAGGGTTATGAAAGGGAAACCAGGTCGAACATTCACTTTGCTAAAAAAATGTTCAGTGCGAGCGGCCACATTTTTTTAGCAAATAGTTTTTAACTGCACGAAAGCAATGGATCGTCCACACCATTCATGTAAAGGTACAGGGTGCATACCTACATTTATGTTCCCCAATACCGATGTTCTCCAATACCGATGTTCCCCAACCCTAACCGTAACCTAAAGGATTTTGGGAAACATAGGTATTGGGGAACATCTGGTAGACCTCAAAAGTAAACATGCTCTAAACCTTACATACTCTTCGTGGACCTGTGAACAAAAGAGGTCCACAGGATGCTAGAAGTGTGAACACTTTGTGGACTTGCCCACGTCCACACTAGGCTTCCCCCCTCTCTGGGAAAGAGGTATAGAGGCATTTTGGGTTAGGTTTATCGTTTGCCAAATGAAGAGGTACACTCAAAGAAATCAGGATAAAAAGTTGAGTTGAATTTTTTTTGTCCGGGTTTTTCTTAGCTACACGAATACATAGGATTTTCCACAGTAGGTATGTAAGATATGGCGGTTTGTGGGTTTGCGTTTGTTTATGGTGTAAATCGAGGACACACGTGCAACATCATCGGTGAATCGAGGATGGGAACCAAATCGAGGACGAACTCGATTAGAAAACGTGTACAAAACTAATGAGAGCTGTTGCCAATAAGTCAGTACAAACAAAGGAAAAGGGAAGAGGAGCAAAAGAAAATACTCGATTTACACCATAAACAAACGTGCTAGTGTGAGTGCTGGCTAGTCATTCCTATATCAAGCCAATACTAAAGTGTTGAATCATGTCAGATTTCGAATGATGAAGATTAGTTACAAAGAAATCTTTTTCTTTTGAATGACAGTGTTACCCTCTTACAGATTTGTCTGTTATGCAGTGTATAGGAGGATATGGTGCTTGTGTGTTTTACATGCTTTGAAAGATTCAAAAGTAAGGTCTTATTCTTGTCATGATTAGTTTGGGCTTAAAATTGTACTTTAGCGGTAAAAAATGGACAGAAGACGTCAGGAATGATTATTGTCTGTAAATTGTCTACGTTAAATACAGGTGGAAGAAACTTGACACTCGTATAAAAGGTCTATTGACAATTGTAATAATTATCTAATCACTGAAATTTCATTTAAAGATTATTGATATATTTATTAACAGAATTATTAATAAAAACTTGTTACATTGATTTAGATGCCACTATACTGACTTTGCGCATGTATTGCCAGATTACCTGTTTAATGCTCGATCAATAAAATTCTGATGTAATCAGACATTCCTTTTTACAGCAAAATAGACATTTTGTACAAATCATTTTATTCAGCGAAAGCAAAATGTAGTCCCTATCATGTTCATAAATACATCGATTTAAAAATCGATTTATTATTCCAAAGTAGGTCTGCCTAATGGCTAAAATCACTTGGTTTCTAACAAAACAGACAAATATCCGACATTTCAAAAATTACATATGGACATGTTTATTTCAAATGGAATGACATGTTCCGCTGCTGTTTCAGCCAAAACTTTTCGACCTATAACAGATCGTTCTAATATATAACGCTTACCACATGTGATTTGTTCACCAAATTAGATGTGTGGTTGCGAAAGCGTGCCGATTGTTAAGCAAAGCTAATCCGATCACGTACTTAGACGCTGTTACAGAGCAGTGAAATTCATGAAACCAAAACGTGGCCTTTTTGAAAGTTGTGTTTCTCAGAAAATATGTTCAGAATGGGTGAATGTTAAATTATAACGGAAGAAGAAATTCTAAACTTCATGTCAGTTAACAAATCGCCGTAATCGATGGCGAAACGTCAGTACTGGTTACTGGTAAA